GCAACAAGGGTGCCAGACCTGAACTGATCCCCTCGTCCCTTCATAATGTATAAAGAAATTATTCAATTTGTAAAACCCTTAAAGGCGTACTTCATTGGTTCCCTTGACAGGCAATGATTTATTACTTTGCATCGAATATGATCCTACTATAGTGTTATATGTATTATATGTCTTATGTATAAGTATATAAACTTGAAAAAAACATGTTTATTAAATTTACAATTTTATATTCAATAATTACTACTAAAGGTTTACGCTGAATTATGATTTTCATACATGTATTTATTTAAATTTTTCCATTAACTACTTGCTTATGTAAACATGTATATATATATGTATGTATATGGGTGGGTAAGTGACTATGTGTGTGCCAAGTTATATACATATTATATTATATACTTACATATTTACCCATATATATATATATAATTTTTATATTATTCTCATACGATCAATTATCACTGTTATTATGTTTTTACATTTTTTACAAAAAAAGCTTAAAATGATCTAATCAGATTTTAAAAACTATCGATTCTGCATGTATTTATAAGTAGCAAACCCCCTGCATAAGCAGTTTTTCTCGACATTTTCGTTTGAATAAAATTTGCTTCCTGCACACCGTGATACCTTTCCTCCATTCACATTTCGACTTTTTTATATAAAAATGTTTCTCTGTATATAATAAAAGCCGATGCAAAATTTAAACCGAATTTCTTAAAAAACTACATAAAAATCTTTTTTGAGTTACAACTTTTTGGCAATCTGTGTCTTGAAAAAGAGGTGTTTAAATGAGAAATGGCATAAGGAAACTTCTATTATTTTTGAACAAACAATTTACTGTTAGTTTTGGTTTATTTTTTTTGTAACATTCGTATAAAGAAATAGATAATTTTGAAACGCATAGAAGTGTAAACGGTATTACTAGCAGGAATCACAATTTGACCTATACGAGGTTGAAATGAATAATCTACTAATAAAACAAGTTTTAGGAAAACATAATAGAGGTCATTATAATAATGTGTTGCTAAATTAATTGGATATGTGTGGTTTGGCGAGGACGAAGTTAATTAATTGTGTAGCAAAAATCGCTTTTTGTCTGCTTTGTTTATACATACATTTACTTGTTTTTTCATGGTTTCGAGAATATGTTGTATTTCGTTCTTTTGTGTTTTTAGAAGCTTTGATTCATTACTGTTCTTAGAAACTTATGGAAATTTTGAGGAACAATGAAAAATATATAAATGGTCGCACCGCCATCTGCTAAATCACAGCATCCGTCCTATTTCTAGTCAGTTCTATTGTCCTGTTGCAGTGAGTTTCCATATGTGACAGTACAGTACAGGATTTTCGACAAGTTGCCTTAATTATTTAGATCATTATACTGAAATTTTTTTAGAAATTATGAAAATGTCAAATATTTATTGAGATAGTGTTTCTCATTGTGAAAGTAAAATAGCAGATAGTTATTATTAATGTGTTAGCGCACAATTTTCTCAAAAAGAATATGTGAAAAACTGATAGAATTACTTTCGGTACACTGGAAATGATATAAATCTTATACAGGGTGTTCTAAAAGTCCATCAAGAAACTCCAGGAGGTGATTCCAGGAATTGAAATAATAGCAGTATATAATGAAAATTTTTTGCGAATTGTCAATTGTTTGCAAGTTACGGATTGTCAAAATAATGTTTTTATTTTTCTATTTAAATAACTTATTTAATTCAAGTTCAATTAGTCTCTCATTTGGCACACCCACTAAGTAGATCAAGCTCTTTTGGACCAGTCAGCAAAAACTTTTATTATGCGCCGCTAGAGGGCACTTTACTTAGAACTCAAAATTTGTTTTGTGCATAATTTTTTTCTCTTGCTAGATATCATAGATATTTAAACATTATTGAAGAAAGAAACAATATCAGAAAAAATTATGTACTCTTTATTCAAGTCGATAGATGTAACCGTTTAGCAGGAAATCGCTATTAAAGTGTTATTAAACATAAAATTTTTAATAATTATTTCTGCAATTAATCAAGTTGCCATGCTGTAATAAAAATAAAATAAAATATTTATTAGTAAATTCATTATCCTTATCTTATTTTTTTACAATGCTATTACAGAGCCGAAAAAAAAATTATTATGGTGAAAAATCAAACATACCTGCTTTAAACAATTTTTGTTACAATTCGTAACACCAAAATTACTATTGATATTTATTTGAAGCCAGGCAACTTAATTAATTACAAAAAAAATTATCAAAAATTTGATGTTTAATAACACATTAATAGCGATTTCCTGGTAAATGGTTACATTTATCGGCTTGAATAAAGATTACATAATTTTTTTTATATTGTTTCTCTTTTCAACAATATTTAAAAAACTTATGAACAAAACAAATTATGAGTTCTAAGTAAAGTGCTCTCTAGCGGCACATAGTGAAAATTTTCTCAGACTGGTCCAATAGAGCTTGATCTACTTAGTGAGTGTACCAAATGAGAGACTAATCGAACCTGAATTAAAAAAAAAATAAAAAAATTTAACTTTGACAAGCTGTAACTTGCAAACAATTGACAGTTCGAAAAAAATTTCATTATATACTGCTATTATTTTAATCTCTAAAAATGTACATACTTTTTATCTATTATTTTAAAACTAATATAATGGTACTGGAAATGATTTATATCATTTCCAGTACCGAAAGTAATTCTATGTTTTTTACGTACCAATTTTGAGAAAATTGTGCGCTAACACATTCCTGAGATTTGTGTTCCCCAAAAGTAATAGTGGGGCCACCACAGGTTTGTTATGGCAACAATTACATAATCCTTTATGGAAATTTTGCTGATTTGACAGGCTAGATGTAATCTAACTGATTATGGCCACGCCATAGATTTGACAGTATAGGTACTATGGATGGAGCCAACTTTCTGTGCATTATAGTTGTTCCAACATGAACTACAAAAGTGGCAGCGATTTGTCCTAGGTGACCTAGGATACAATTCCCGCAACATTGATTTTAAAGGAAACTATCTCTGATTATGAAATTGACTCTTTTCGGTAGCTACATAATAATTAAAAAAATTATTGACAAATCTATATGTAAAATATGCAATAGCATTTAATACCACATAATGAATATAACAAATTGCGTGTGATAGGCCTGCAAATGCCCTAAGTCACGTGAAGGGAGACTAGTTTCATCTCACTTTATATCTTGGCCCCCTTACCTCTCTCTCTACATTCCATTCATAGTATACTGTCAAATCAATGGGCCGCGCTAATAGGCTATTCATTATGTCAGAAGGGTACTAAGGAACTACAACGTTGATGGGTTTTTATTGCTTGAATCGTTCAAATGGTTATTCAGAAAGAAAAAACCGCGGAGTGCTATTAAATTAGGGGGTGGAAATTGGAGAGGGGTGAAAATGCAACCCTTACGGATTTTTGAGTATATCTCGAAAACGAAGCAAAATTTGAGGGTATTGCATAGGAAAAATTTTGTAGATGATGAGATTTTCTATAAAAATAGCTTATTTAAAAAATTTTTAAAATTTATTTACTGGAAAATATAAAAAACAAATTAACAAAAAAAATGCAAAAAATTAAATTTTTTGTTTTTTATTTACTTTTATGCGAATAACTTTTTTCTGAGCAGAGATAGGTATAGGCATTGCTTCATAGAAAAAAAAGTATATAAAATTTCCTTCAAAACGAGAGGTTGTAGAGTATTTTTGGATGAAAATTGACTGATATATGGCCGCCCAAACTTAGTCAATTTTTCAATTTTTCTCGCGTTTACCCTTATACATTTTAATTCCCATTTTTTGCAAAAAAAGGAAGGAAATAAGACGTTCAAGGATTTTCATCACATCACTTGTTCGAAGGGTCATTAAAAATGAAAAAACCGCTTGGTGTTATTAAAGGGTTGAAATTGAAGATAGGGGTGAAAATGCACTTTTGCAGTTTTTTAAATATAGCACGAAAATGAAGCAAAATTTCGGTATAGTTCATAGGAAATATTTTGTAGAGAATTGAATTTCCCATCGAAACGGCTTATTAAAAAATTTAAAAGAAAAATTTTATGCAAAAATCGTTAATAACCAATTTTAAAGAAAGCAAAAAATAAGATTTTTTTTACTTTTTTAATAAAATAATTTAGTAAAAACTTCAAAAAATGTCACTCTTTATTCTGCCCCTCGAAAAAATGAGACTGTCATATAAACATCTTAGATTAGATATGCAGGGTGCTCATAAATTAAAAAACACATAAATACTCAAGAGAGAAGTACCATTATTTATTATTTTACACAACATTTTTATGAAACAAATTTGTTTATAACCTCAAATAATATCCTAGTACACGATTCATGCAATAAAAACCCATCAACGTTGTAGTTCCATAACATATGACATAATCAATAGCCTATAATGCTCAAAAGAGTTTTTTGAAGGTTAAATTGTAATTTTGTTATTATGCAACTTCAGAGTTATTAAAGGTTGTAAACTATTGTATGACAATTACGCTAAATAAAGCAAATTTGATACAATATGAATATGCATACACTAAATAACCTCTGTAACCTAACCTTGGTTTAAATTTTCTGCTTCACAGTTTTCTTATCTATGAAATATTTTTCTTTTATGTTTCCTCTGAGTCCCTTTGGACTTCATTATACTTCTTTCCATGGCTATCAGGTTTCTTAGTGGTTTAATTATTTTATTTTTTATGGTATTTGCGATTTACTTCTATTCTGACAATGTTGTCCAAATAATATGATTTTACAATATTTTGTGTAAGAAATGAATAATAAACATGAGGATTTTGAATATTTTTGCAGTATTTCCACTTTAGTAGAAAAAAGTTCCTTTTCTTTAAGCTGTAATCTACATTTTGCTATTTACTATGTGTAACTGTGATACAAAAAACTTACTTCTACTAGAGCGTGGATTAAACTTTTTCCGAGAAGTAACTTGAACTAAGTAAACTCACAAAAATATTATTTTAGGGCTCTTGCAGATACAGATGCAGATGGGAGGATGGACATAAATGAATTTTCTATAGCATGCAAATTAATAAATTTAAAATTGAGAGGATTCGAAGTTCCCAAAGGTCTTCCTCCATCACTCCTAGCATCCCTTAAAGTCAATACACCTCCATCGATACCACCCCTTCCCAATTCATCTTCACTTCCACCACGTCCAGAACCTCCTAAAATAGCTCCCATCATATCCCAATCGTTAACTCATAATCCACCACTAATACCCAGTCAACCACTATTAACACAAGCACCGACAACTCAACCTTTGGTGCCTAATATATCTCCTGGATTAGTTAGTCAAGCGCATATTATGGGAATTTCAAAGCCAGTAGGAAGTAGTACAGTTGTAGGAGGCTTACCGACTGGGGTTTTACCACCCACAAGTAGCATTATAACAACTGGTGGAATTTCTGCCAGCATACCTACGGGTAAGTTCACATCTACCAAGGATTTATACAGTGTGCCGAATGAAGGTCATTTCGATGATCAGGCGTTAGAAGTCTGCATGGGGCCTCACTCAGAAACCCAATAGTCAGAAGTCAATGCCTGATTAGATTTTCTCACCGAAATTTAAATAGTTTGAGCTAGAGACTATGTATTTTTATTTGCTTGTGTATGCAAGAAAATAAATACAAAATCTTACTTTCTTGGGATCCTCATATTCTCGACTGCTCCATAACGTTTTTCCTCATTCTAAAATTAGTTTTCACCTTAAATGTAATAAAAATGCTATTCATGAATTTCTTTTAGATAATTTTAGCATCCATTATAAAAATAATAAAAAAATAGAAAGAGTTTATGTGAAAATACTTCCTAAAATGCTTCCTAACGTTGCTATGGCCATTGTAGATATAAGAAAAAATCTATATTTGCAATAATTTCTAAACATCTGTATTATTTCAAGAACTATTCATATAAACTTTTTCGTATTATTTTTATCCTCTAAATTTTTGGCCAAGGCTCTGTAAAGAAGCAATAGAAATCCAGGAAAATTTAAATAATTTTAACAGAGATGAGGGCCCAGAAATACTTCAAATCTGGAAACGACTTATACAAGGTGTTTCTAAAATAGGGTTCCAAACTTCTGCTGCGTTTATAACTCATTAAAATAAGCCAAAAAGTTCCTATTAACATGTGCCCTAAAACGCACCCTTAGGAAGTTATATGCCCTTAAAAGGGCTCAAACAAAACTGTTTTTTTTCTGTTATTGACAAAACGGTCGAAAATAAATAGAAAAAAAATTTTGGGTAGCATAGCTTTTTACGTTAAAAAACAATTTTGTTTGAGCCCTTTTAAGGGCATATAACTTCCTAAGGGTGCGTTTTAGGGCACATGTTAATAGGAACTTTTTGGCTTATTTTAATGAGTTATAAACGCATCAGAAGTTTGGCACCCTATTTTAGAAACACCCTGTATGTAAAAGAAAAACATGAACGTCACAGGTTAGTGATTTCAAGCCCAGCAGAAGATCTTCCAATTTGAAAGTTTCTTCTGAAGAAGAGAGTGATATGTCTCTAGAAAAACTGATGTGACAACTAGTTCGGTAATTGGTCAAACTACATGAAAAAATTTTGGCATAGGTATTGACTTTTGAATATAGGGTGAGTCTAGAGGAATACCAAATTCCAGTGGTTTATTTACATAAAAATAATTATCCAAATAATCCAAATGTAATCATATTTTCATTTGATTTTGAGTTCATAATCATGTTAAAATACCCTACAGACATCTTTTTAATTGCAGCATTCTAATAACAAAATATTACTGCCATTGACCCATAGACATTTTCTGGTTCATCCAAAAGGTGTGCCTCTTGCTTTATTGTGTCATTGGTGGCTTTTTTAGTATCGGTTCTGGCATTTCCAACATATCTAATTTTAGTACATTCGAATTTTTTATTTTACTTTGTGTACGTCACTTTTTAATCAGCCCCACAAACAAAAGTTCAATGGTATGAGGTCTGGAAAACTTGGAGGCTAATCATTGGGACCCCACATTTCGACCTAATATTACCTGGCCTGAAAATATATGCAGAGTATTTTGGTTAACAACATTATGATTTTAAATTTGTAAATTGTAAAAACATATTTCTTGTTGAGTATAAAGTTAGTTAGACTTTGAAGTTATAAATATAAAAACAATGGGGAAACTGCAAGAGTAATTTGAGTAATTCTTTGAATCATATAAAAATTTAATTTAAATTTGAATATTTAATGTTTTTTTTTTTTACTAAAAAGTACTTATTTGGGAGGTCTACTAGCCTTTCATTGAGCATGAGGCTGATAGGCTTAAAAATACAGACGGCTAAGGATGTTCGCTTTTTCAAGCTTAGTATAGTGTAATTTTTTTTTCTAAAATAAAGGAGGTACTTTCTTATTTTTTCTAAAATCTACACCGTGTCCACCTAGTGCGCGTAAGTCCAATATCTAGGTTAATAAAAGATATAACTTAATTTTTTTTTCTACAGAGTTGCCTACTTTCCCGAGCTGCACAAAATGAAAATATATTTGCATATACAGGGTGTTCAGTTTTTCCTGGGCAGGTACCAACTTAATTTTTTTAAATGGAAACCTATATTTTTTATGGCATTATCGAATTATACGTGAAAAATTACCGGACTTTGTGTTATGATCCCTATTAAAATATCGACAGTTTTCGAGATAATCGACTTTTCATTTTTTTTTCTTATGTTTTAGTCACTTCTAGTAGTTGACAATTATGATTGACAGCTAGAACTTATTTTTTTCAGGAACTGTAGAGTGAAGATGGCTCTTTCAAAAAACGTATCAAAAGTTGACTTGCGATATACAGGGGGAAAAAAAATCGTTTCAAACCTTTTTTTGCCCCCTGTATATCGCAGATCAACTTTTGATAAGTTTTTTGAAAGAGCCATCTTCACTCTACAGTTCCTGAAAAAAAATAATTTCTAGCTGTCATACAATCATAATTATGTCAACTACTAGAAGTGACTAAAACATAAAAAAAAATGAAAAGTCGATTATCTCGAAAACTATCAATATTTTAATAGGGATCATAACACAAAGTCCCGTTAATTTTTCATGTAGAATTCGATAATGCCATAAAAAATATAGGTTTCCATTAAAAAAAATTAAGTCTACCTGCCCAGGAAAAACTGAACACCCTGTATTTGCAAATTATTTTCATTTTGTGCAGCTCGGGAAAGTAGGCAACTCTGTTGAAAAAAAATTAAGTTTCTTATATCTTTTATTAACCTAGATATTGGACTTAACGCGCACTGGGTGGACACGGTGTATAGTTTTTTTTGGTAATTCTATGTAATCTGATATCTTAATTTCTTCTGAAATATCNTAGTAGTTGACAATTATGATTGACAGCTAGAACTTATTTTTTTCAGGAACTGTAGAGTGAAGATGGCTCTTTCAAAAAACGTATCAAAAGTTGACCTGCGATATACAGGGGGAAAATACATCGTGTCAAACCTGATAATTTAAAATTTGAAAAATCTCGACTTTCAAATAGAACACCCTGTGTTTCATGATTTCATTAGATGCCTTTCTGTAGACCCTACAATTTTTTAATAGCTTTCTCTATAACTAAGTTGCGTAGTTTTTGCAAAAAACCCATTTTTATGTAAAATACCGGATTTGCGGCCGTTCCTTTGTCGGGAAATATATTGTAAGGGTATTTATTTTTATTAAATTTATTGGTTGTCTAGCTACACTATTTAAAATAAAAATTAATAACTGAAAAATTTTGATATTTGAGTTAAATAAGCCTTTATGGAAAGTTACCATTTATTTGTAAATAAAATCATAAAACCATAAAATCGCTACAAGTGATTAAGAATTAGCAAAATATGGGAAATGTTTGCTAGCAGCACATATTTACAAAGCAAATAATCCAAATTTACACAGATTCCCACTGTTTTGAAAATGTGAAGGGGAAAGGTTTGAATGAACAGCAAATGCGAATTATGAGAAAACTACCAGGAGACATGAAAGTAACAACGATAATATTTAGTTTAAAGTTGTGGCGTCTGCTGTTGAAAATCCAAATATTAGTGCCAGGAAATTAGTAGTAACCTTGGAGTTTGCAAAAGTTTGACAGATAAAATGTTGAAGAAGAAGTTTCATTCGTATTGAAAATCAAGCACTGTTACCATAGTTAGGAAAGTTATTAGTGAAACTGGAGATTAAAAAATTTGTATGAATAAAATTTTGAAAAAAGAATACTCATAGTCACAAGCTAACTTAAAATAAATACCCTTACAATATTTTACCTGACAAAGGAGCGGGCGCAAATCCAGTATTTTACATAAAAATGTTTTTTTTGCAAAAACTACGCAACTTAGGTATAGGGAAAGCTATTAAAGAATTGTAGGGTCTACAGAAATGCATCTAATGAAATCATAAAACACAGGGTGCTCTATTTAAAAAAGTCGAGATTTTTCAAATGTTAAATTATCAGGTTTGGCACGATTTTTTTTGCCCCCTGTATATCGCAGGTCAACTTTTGATACGTTTTTTGAAAGAGCCATCTTCACTCTACAGTTCCTGAAAAAAATAATTTCTAGCTGTCATACAATCATAATTATGTCAACTACTAGAAGTGACTAAAACAAAAAAAAAATGAAGTCGATTATCTTGAAAACTATCAATATTTTAATAGGGATTATAACACAAAGTCCCGTTAATTTTTTACGTAGAATTCGATAATGCCATAAAAAATATAGGTTTCCATTAAAAAAAATCAAGTTGGTATCTACCTGCCCAGGAAAAACTGAACACCCTGTATTTGCAAATTATTTTCATTTTGTGCAGCTCGGGAAAGTAGGCAACTCTGTAGAAAAAAAATTAAGTTTCTTATATCTTTTACTAACCTAGATATTGGACTTAACGCGCACTGGGTGGACACGGTGTATAGTTTTTTTTGGTAATTCTATGTAATCTGATATCTTAATTTCTTCTGAAATATCATGTAAGCTGAATTGTATTTTAAATATTTATTCTAAACAACAATTACTACGTTATTGAGCGCTACGTTTATTATTGGTCTGACACTATTTTGAATGTATTAAAATTTTTGTTGTTGTCAAGGATTATGTACCGAAATAAGTATTTGGTATTTTACATCAAATATTGTCACTTGAAATTAATTATGCAATGTTTTATCAAATTTTTGCTCCTTTGTAATTTTTTAATTTTAGGAGAATTAAATAAACAGCTGACAGCAAATTTTCGAGTTGAAGTAAAAAAAAAGTGTGATGTTTATATTGTTTCAATTCAGTGAGTAATTGAAAAACGTGTAATTTAATGTCTATTTCAAAGAGTGAGGTACTTTTTTTAGTAAAATGTCTGAGGGTATTGGAAAATATTTTCTTTGTTTTAGATAATGGCATAACAATTTTTTTTAATTATTATTTTCTTATACCAACAACTGCACGTTCAGAATTTACTTAAGGATTTATTAGGAACTGTCATCAAGTTAATCCGGTCAGTAGGATTACTTGTTTTATCATTTATAAACTAATTTATGTTAGAAAGTGTATGAAGAAATATTATTAATTTATAAGATATACATATAAAACTTTAATATGCTAAATGTTATCTCTGGCTCTTGTTTGCTTGTGCTATGATATTAAAAAAGTTTGCAGGAATTATATATTATGAAAATAGTGGAGTGTTCGATATCAATTTATCCAACAAAGCTAACTTATTTCCACATTTCCTACCTGCCTGTAAATTTATCAGAATAAAATCTGTTATATTCTACATAATAAGAAAATATATTTTTGTATTGGTACTTTCTTAATGTTCATTACATACTGGTTCACTGATTCGTGCGATATACTTATAACAAAAAATTATTTCAGGCATCGTGCCACCAATGCAAACTAATATTCAACCAGTCCAACCGCTTATAAGTGGTTTGCCTACGATGGCCAGTGTTGCACCTCTCACTGGTCATTCTGCTGGTTTTGGTGCGCCATTGGTAACAGCATCAATGGTATCTTCAGCAACAGTGCCATTACCATCAGCCTCTCCATTACTGCCGGGGTTAGCTCCAACTGTATCTTCGTTCACGAGCGGTTCTCCTCTGATTACTGGTGGTCCTATAATTAGTACCACACCTTTACCTAATATTCCTGCTGCCCCTGTGGTCCCTACCAGTATGTCTTCTGTTAACATGCAGACAGCTGTGCATCCTGTCGGGCCTGGTGCTACTAGTACACCAAGGGCAAGCGTAACTAGTTTGGATAGGACTCATTCTATTGATTCTGTTTCGTAAGTTTAGATGGTCTTAAAAATAAATTCATTTATTACTTGTACGTCTGTCAAATTTTAGGCAAACCGAATGGGCTGTACCTCATCCAACCAAATTAAAATACACTCAAATATTCAATACGACTGACCGAGCAAGGAGTGGATATTTATCAGGAGCACAAGCAAGAAATGTCATGGTTCAAACGAAATTACCTCAAAATATCTTAGCACAAATCTGGTAATGTGTAATAATAATTGAAGAGAAAATATTGTATCTATTTATTGTTCTTTTCTGATCGTCTTATTAGGGCTCTCTCTGATATGGATTCGGATGGGAGATTAGGATGTGAGGAATTCGTCTTGGCCATGCATTTATGTGAACAGGCTTCGCTGGGTACTCCACCACCAGCAAAATTGCCACCAGACCTCATTCCACCGTCTTTTAGAAAAAATGCCAGAACCGCATCGATTTCTAGTCAAGGTAGTGTTGCCACAGAACAAGATCCAGCTTCAACACTATTGCAGAGTAAGTAGAATGTCTTAGGATTTAAGATTTCTTACAACTTGATAATTTTAGATTCATTTGAGGATAAACGTAAAGAGAACTTCGAAAAGGGCCAAGCTGAATTGGAAAGAAGGAGAAAGACACTATTGGACCAGCAGCGTCAAGAGAGAGAAGAACGAGAAAGGAAGGAACGGGAAGAACAAGAGAAGAAAGAGAAAGCTAGACAAGAGGCTGAGCGCAAACGTTTAGAAGAATTGGAAAAACAAATGAGGGAGCAACAGGAAAAGGAACGACTTTTAGAAGAGGATAGAAAACGACAAGCCGAGCAAAGGGAAGCAGCAAGAAAAGAAATGGAAAGACAGCGGCAATTGGAATGGGAAAAACAGCGCTTGCAAGATTTGCAACAGCAAAGACAAAGGGAACAGGAAAATGTTCTGAAATTAAAAGCCAAGAATCAGAGTTTGACTATTGAATTATCGTCGCTTAACGATCAGGTTAAAGAACTGTCACAAAAGATATGCGATACTAGGTTGGGCGTTTCTAATGTTAAAACAACTATTGATGGCATGAGGTCAACTAGAGACTCCCAAATGCAAGAAATGTCTCAACTTAAGAATAAATTAAAGGAACAAAATGCTAAATTGCTTGCTTTGTCTCAAGAGAAAGTTAAACTAGAAGCAAAAAATAAGATTAACGCACAGTTGAGTGGACAAGACGCAGAGCAATCTAGGTTAGCCTTCGAAAATAAGGAAATTACTATAAAAAACTTGAAAAAGAAAATAGAAGACATGCAGACAGAAATAAATGGCAAGTTATCGGATATCGACAACAATAATTCTCAGTTGGCTGAGTTACAAAATCAGTTAAAATCGTTAGTTGCAGAGTGTGAACAGTTATACGGCGTCTATGACCAAAAGAGAAACACAGTTTTAGAAATGAAGAATGCAAATCGCACTTCTGGGTTTGATGCGTGGAAGACTACCGACGCCTGGGGCAGCAGTGCTACTGAAGCAGCAGTTGAATGGCCAGTAGACAACTGGGCAACTAGTACTGAACCAACTGAACCAATTGAAACTGCTGCCATGCCTGGAATCGTCAAGTACAGGGCACTTTATGAATTTTTAGCCAGAAATAACGACGAAATATCATTCCAGCCCGGTGATATTATAAATGTAAGCATTTATATTTTAATCGATCAATGCTGCCACACTTCTCTTTATTTTAGGTACCAACCGAACAAACTGGAGAACCGGGATGGTTAGCAGGTGAGATAAGAGGTCACACAGGCTGGTTCCCAGAGTCCTATGTAGAACCAGTAGATGGCGTTGGGGTTAGAGATATGGGGATGGTTGGTTCAGATGTAACGTATAATCAGTCAGGTGTTATGTATCCCGAAGATACCGAAGCAACACGATTAGAGTAAGATCTCGAGTTAAAGGTGAAATATATCGTTAAATGTAAAAATATTTACCATCTTTAGGGGTATTGCAGAAGTTCCCGAAGTTTCTGAAGCTGTGTCAACAAACGCGAAAACAAATCAAGTTGAAGAACCGTTAACTATACCAAATGTAACCGCTTTAGAGGGAGAACCCGAGTATTATATTTCCAACTACCCGTACCAGTCCCAAGAACAAGGTGATTTAACATTTAATGCTGGGGAAGTTATCGCGGTATATAAAAAGGAAGGCGATTGGTGGACGGGAAAAATCGGCGATAATGTCGGAATATTTCCGAGCAATTACGTTCAAAAAGTGGATGTGGTGAGTTACGTGAATTTTTGTGTTTTTTATGTTTGTTTACTAACATTAGTGTCGTCGATTTGTGTTTGCTAGACTTCCTCAGCTACTAATAATGCTGCACCTCCTGAGCCCGCTTCTACTGGGGTTTCTGCTGAAGCTGTGCAAACGGCACTCGAAAACGTAAATGCCCAAGCTGATAACGAAGTCTCGCAAATTAACCAGAGTAAAACGAAGGAAGTGCCATTAGATGCCGCTATACAAGCGGGGGCTCAGGTTTGTAATGTTTTATAATTTTAATATGATTGCGCTGTACAATTTGTCATGTAAGTATTTGTGATGCATTTTCTTGTACGTTTTTTAATAATGTGTAAGGTGACGGATACATTGGATTCAAATTCGAAAGAAAAATTATTCGTATGGAATGTCAAACTGCAATTTTGCCTTTATAACGTATATATACATTTGTAACCTGAGGGATTATTTCTTTATTTATCTATATATCGTTATGACCAGTATCCTAACGAGTCTGGATTTCAAAAGAGTTTACTATTCAATTCTCGAAAGGGAGTTTATAATTATCATTATACTTTAATTAATATGTGGGAACTTAGAAATGTTGTATGCTCAGAGATTGAATACCAGACATTTACCGTATGTCGCTTATGTACAAGGTAATCAAGTGGTGCCAGTTTTTCGGATCTCTCCTGAATTTGACACCTAGCTTCGACACGCCCATTTCTTGGGTCCAGAAGTTTCTGTTCTTATCTTATTGGCGGGAACCTGAATATCGGGACACTTTGGTATAACTATACTATGTTAATAATTACCTAATTGACTGAACTTACATTTATATAAATAATTCTGTGACTAACTGAAACTTACAAGTAACCCTAGCCTTCCTCTAGTGACTGCGTGTAGCAATACGGGACGGATTAGTCAATCTCATTTAATATATTCTTAATAGCTTGGAAAATCCGCCTGAAAACCAGCTATTTGATCTATTACTTTCCTTTCTAATTATTGTCAATTTAACAATTTGATTTTATTCTAATTTTGGAACCTCTACGCTCTTCTCGTGGTTTCGCGTATTATTAAAAATATGGGTTTCTTTGTTCTGTCCCAGCATAGGTTGGCGCCTCTCGGACGCGACAGATGACTGTCACATGGCCCCGACGGTCTAAGTGAACTTGTTCAAAAATATTCCTAAATTTCATGAGGCCTGCTTCGAAGGACGATCTTTGCGACGTTAAACCTACTTGAAAGCCCTTAACTTTCCGATAAATTAGCGTTGACTGAAATATTTTACTTTTTGGCCCATCCCTTCCGAGAACTAATAAATAAATTACTACGTGTCCCGGCTTTTGTTACACATTTTTATGTATATTTTAATATCAATGATAGAAAAAATACAATACACAGTCCGACTTTTACGTTTTTATTGTAACGAAGTGTGTGGTCAACGGAACTATGTAATGGGAAGCTTTCCCAGCGACAGAACAAAATTTCATCGGTATACGTGTATCTATCACGAAGTTATAAAGTTTTGCGTGAAGCGAGTTTTTGATAGTTGTCATGGAAACGCACATTGAACATCATACAGCAATCAAGTTCTGATTTAAAACTGGTAAAACAGCCACAGAAACGTATCAGGTGTTACAAACTGTGTTCAGGAGGTTTCATGATGACCGAGACAGCGTGCACGACACCGAGAGGACAAGGTGTCTAAGCACAAGCCGAACATCGAAGCTGTTGTTCAAAGCTGTTGTTCATGTTCAAATGTGTGAATACGGCGAACGATGAGGTCACACAATAGGCCCACTCCGTCCAATCCATTGTTCTGGATAAATTTGATTTAAATAGTCTCGAACTAAGACACTGAAATGGGCTGGAGCGTGATCATGCATAAAAAATGTTTCTGTTCTCAATCTGATGGATACAGGGTGATTCACTATGTTTTGACCCCCCCATTAACTCTTTTGTTTTTAGAGTTATAAAAAAAATGGGAAATACAAAAGTTGCACGATTTTTTTATGGAGTTTTCCAAAATGATAGTAGAAAACAAATGAAGTCCAAACAAAATAGCCGTAGATGTTAATTATGTTAATTTAAATGGAACACTGTGTATATTTTTACATATTTAGATAGAATGTTCTGTGTCGAGCATAGTCATATAGGGTTTGTTGGGTCCATCTCTAACAATAAGGGAGATACTAAGGTTTTTTATTAAGAAAATAAGATATCTTGTATTAATTGGACCTCTTCCAGATATTTCTGACTTTTTTCTGATTACGTAAGGATTTTCAGATTTAGTTTGATTGATAGGGTCCAAAATTCATATAGGTATTTTAACCAAATATCACTAATTAGGCCGTAAGAGGCCTAATTATTCATGGACAATGTAATATGGTAGGCCGTGACAGTGACAGGTAGTAATGCCATTATTATTGATTGACAGTTTGTGTTATTATTTAATTAAAATAGGTTACACAGAAATAGAAAATTGAAATATTCAGGCCTATTCTGTAACTCCTAATCGAATAGAAATGTATAAAATCGAATCGAGATCAACCCATCAAATCGAAATTGGGCAACATCGGTATTCTATAACTTGTTTCGACGTTTACTATCGAAGTTGTTGGTAGAAATCGACGTCGATCAGTCAAACTCTGTCGAAGTGGTAGTTTTAGATATCGAGATTGGGTCTCGCATGCGCTGTTGTGTTAGATGTGTCAGTTTGAGTTAAGCATAACCTCACAACACAACAAATCTTTTTTCCTTTTCGTGTTTTAAATCGCAGAATTATAAAATATTTGTACGTCTATACGTACGTGTAAACGTGTATAGGTATATTTTTTAGTTATCTAATTTGTCCATGGTTTATAATATTCTCTATCAAAGGGCTTAGTTTTACCATGAGGTAAAATTTTGTGCAGCGTAATGAAATCTACCATGCAGTTCAGCTGGTCTGTAGAAGTTTTTTTCTTTATTGGAGTCGGAAATGACATCATTAATATTTTTCAGTACTGACCTTCTCGAAAGATTACAGCAAAATGAATGTATTTTTAAAATAAAGTATATAATCTAGTAGGTAGGTACAATTAAATTTACGGAACATGGGATTTCATATTAAAACACATTTGCAAGGCAACTGTGCATAAATTCCACTTCTTATACATGCGCTAAATCTTGTAAAAGCACATTTATCTTAGCTTTTGCATATTTCATATTTTGAAATTTCTAACCTCTCCAAATGTCACTTGGCTATTAAAGTCTATAATTGCAGAGCAATGCATTGTTGCCATTACGCTAAACCGGCATCGAATCGAGGTCTTTCTCTACAATTTGTAACTTCTACGATTTGAGTTACAGAATACCAATTTTAGGAAACGATCGACGCGATAGATATTGAACTTTACGAATTGCAAACATTTCGACTCAATCTGAGCATTTTGATGCAAGTTACAGAATAGGGCTGATTATTAGGAATTAAAATAGAGTATGGAGAACTTTACTCTATTTTAATTACTATAATATTTCAATTTTCTATTTCTGTGTAACCTATTTTAATTAAATAATAACACAAACTGTCAATCAATAATAATGTTGTCATGACATTACCTGTCACTACCATATAACATCGTTCATGAGTAATTAGGCCTCTTACGGCCTAATTAGTGAGATTTAGTTAAAAGTACCTATACGCATTTTGGACCATATCAATTAAACTAAATTTGTAAATCCTTACATAATTGGAAAAAACGCACAAATGCCTGAAAAAGATCTAACTATTGCAAGATATCTTATTTTCTTAATAAAAAACCTTTTTTTCTTTTTTTAAGTTAACATCCGCGGCCATTTTGTTTAGACTTCATTTGTTTTTCTACTATCGTTTTGAAAAACTTCATAAAAAATCGTACAACTTTTGTATTTCATATTTTTTTTGTAACTTTAAAAACAAAGAAGTTAATGAGAGGGATCAAAATATAGTGAATCACCCTGTACATCTTCAAGCAAATTTGGCAAAGCATTTATCAAAATATTCAAATATGTAGGTCTGTTTTAACATTGAGGCATAATGTAACGGTTCCATTAATCTATCTCCCAAAATACCTGCTCCAAACGTTAATAGAACATTTTTCCTGGAATCAATTTTCAAAAATCTCGTGGATTTTCATCTGCCATAGTTGTTACGAAAATTAACAATGTCTTCGCTCGTAAATTCTGCTTTGTCTGTGAACAACACTTTATTGATAAAGAAACAGTACTGGTGATATTTCATTTGTATCCATTGACAAAATTCTAATCTAGATTGAAAGTCTTGAGGTTTCAGTGCTTGAGCTCTTTGTAAATGTTGTGGATACAGGAGTTGTTCATGTTGAGCTGTTTATTTGAGGAATATTTTCTTGTAGTGAAATTCTTCTGGTGATGACATATGGATTTACTGCAACCAATTGAGGAATCCTTTCTTCTGCTTGCAGCGTCTGTGTAGTACGGTTTGTTCCACGATTAATCCTATTTGGCGTGAAACCTCAACCTTCGATGTAGAGTACTAAATAATTTAGCGGTAGGAAGTCGACGATTTGGAAAGGCTTCGTGATATAATCTGTGCACTTCTAGAGTAAAACTGTTAACATACGTACATAAAATGCATGTCGGTAATTTCTTCAAATTAATATTGCGGCATTTTTAAAATTCGAACATTGTTATTCAAATAGTTTTATTTAGTTCAATAATTTTTGACAAACATGGTAAATAAATAGATTTTGGTTGCTATATCAACTGTAAGTATACTTAATGATTTTCTTTTTAAATGTAGGGCCGTAATAAGCCTCCTTTAATGTTTTTATTCAATCAGAGAAATAAAAGAAATAACCCGTTCTTGGGTGCTGTCTTTGAACTGCCATAACATCCTTAGGATTTGCAGACCTATGTTCATATGAAAAATTCTTGTTTACTTATGTAAAATGAAATTATTTGAATGGAATTTCCGGACACCTTGTATAATATTTAAAAAATTTATAAAATGAAAAATTTTGAATTGCAGGTTGTGAAAAGTAAAAAACCAGAAATAGCTTCTGTAATCGCACCTTATGAATCTACCAGCCCAGAGCAGTTATCTCTTGCTAGGGGTCAATTAATAATGATTCGTAAGAAGACAGATTCTGGTTGGTGGGAAGGCGAACTACAGGCCAAAGGAAGAAAAAGACAAGTCGGATGGTTTCCGGCAAGTTACGTTAAAGTCTTAAATAGTAGTGGAAAAATCAGTGGAAGAAACACCCCAGTATCAACCACTCGGATGCAACAAGAAGTCGTTATTGGTAAATAGAACCAAATCATTTTATGATAATAAATAAGGCTGCTGGTATTTTTAGATAAAGTAATTGCTTTATATCCTTATGCTGCTGGTAATCCTGATGAATTAACTTTCGCAAAAGATGATATTATTAGTGTAACTGCTAGAGAAGAGGAGGCTTGGTGGAGGGGTGAATTAAATGGAGTTTCCGGTCTATTCCCTAGTAATTATGTGGCTCCTCTTCAGCAGCAGTGTAAGTAAATATAATTTTTTTTTTTTCATATATCTATCAATTCAGTTTTATGAACCCTTCCATTACCCTTTAATTTCAATTAAGATTTGGTCGTCAAAAGATGTCCTCATCTGTATGAAACCGAGAAAAGACATTATTATAATTGCAACACTGCTACTGATGTCGCAATAACGCAATTATGATCGGAAGCGTTTTATTATTTAATTGTGGTTGCCATGAAATTCGGCTGAGATGGCCTAACCTCTGAACTGACGTACTTGTCTGATTTACTTTTGTCTATAAATTGTAACCTTTCATGTATGTACCGATCATAAGTGCAGTATTCTCTACTTGCACACAAAAATAAGAAAAAAAATGGGGTCTAAAATATTTTCTATCATTACACAGTTTTAATGGGAATGGGAATAGAATTCGTAAAAATAAAAAGGAGCATATGTTTTAAAGTTTCATTTTGGAGATACAGGAAGGTAAAGTTAATAAAAAAGAGAACTTCTTTTCAAATATTTCAAAAACTACATCCGATTTTGATGAAACTTGGCTCGTTTTTAATTACAAGAGGTTTTGATGTAATTAGATTTAATTTAATTATTCCAGGGGTGGTCCTGGGTCATCCTAACTAGATACCTATTTTAAAGAAAAAGGACCCCTCACAATCCTTATGGAAAGTGGTTTTCGGTTAATTTTTTTGAAACTTTGCTATGTGACAGTTCTGATCGTGTGGATCAAAAGTATCAATGGGCACAAAGTCTGGAAGTCCTTTGTTTTGAACTAATAGCCAATGAAAGTTGAATTTTTTCCCTCTTACGCTGCATAGTAACAATACAGCAATGATTCTTTATTGTAAAATTACATTACATTAATAGTAAATGAACTTTGCCCGATTGGTTAGAGATGTTTTCAACTTCCGGTTCCGATCGGAGTAGTAGCCTATTGGGACTGAAAGTCTTTTTTTTCAAATATACCTAATGGTATATTTTTTATTGCGGATTTCGATTCGACATCGAAAAATGTGAAACTTTTACTTAAAACATTTTTTTCTAAAATGCGTTTTGGCAGCCGTTAATGATCTTTGAAGTTGACCTCGTGCTGATTCCCGTGAAAGGCTACTTTTGGTATTAACTGGAAGTCGAAAACATCTCTAATGCATCGGGCAAGGTCCATTTATAGTTGTTACGATTTCAATCAGAACCTGTGAATCTTAAAGCACAGGACTGTCTGCACTTCTCCTGAAATTTCTTCCTATACTTTGGCCATGATAAGTCTCATAATTTATACTCGAATAGCAATTCGGTAAGTCCGGTATTGGTAAACCAGTCCGCCTGATGTAGAATCGAGGGCGGCGCGCTATTTGTCAGAGCAAACCTGTATTGGTCCACTAGGTCGTAAATCATTTTTTGTATGGGATGTTGTGATTTTTTGGTGTCGAGCGGGTTCACTTGGCTTTGCCAGTGCAGTGCAGAGCAGTGCTTAGCGTGATATGTTGTTGGTATAATACGTATTATTATTTGTTAGTTGATATTATTATTTGTTCATATCGTAACTATTAAAGGCTAATAGTTATTAAAATCAATATTATACATCATTATCTAGTAATTTAGCATGGCATTCTGGAGACAATTTGAAGCGGAGGATAACGAAATAACTTAGGAAAATTCCCAAATAGTTGAACCGGTTTTTGTCGAAATTTACACGTACATAGTCAACGTATTATTTTAAATATATATGAATGTTTGAAAATAGAAAATAGTGAACAATGTGATAAAGGAATTAGGAAACGGATTAGTGAATTAACTAACACATCAAAAACCACAATTTATCGCGTAATTAAAGAAGGAGACGTTATTGATCAAGGTACAAAGAGGAAACGGAAAAATACAAAATTAAAGAATATTGACGATTTTATCAGAGATGTAATACGGCACACAATTATTAATTATATTATTAATGATTATAATACGACATGTTTTATTACAATGTGATTTTAAACATAAAAAACGACAATCGTATTTTAATTATGGAATCACAACATATAGTTGCACTTCGGGAAGATTATTTACAAAAAATTTGAGAATATTGCCAATTAAATAGGAATATAGCGTGGAATATAGTATATCTATATGAGACAGGGCAAAATTTTTTTGGATGCCTATGGATTTCGTAGAATTTATGAGTTAAGTGTTTTTATGCAGTTCCAATTGAAATCGTAACAACTATACTATTAATGCAATGTAATTTTACAAAAAAGAATCAATGCTGTATTCTTTACATGCAGTATAAGGGGAAAAAAATTCAACTTTTGGGGGCCATAGATCCAAAATAAAGGACTTTCAGACTTTGTGCCCATTGAGACTTTTGATCCACGCGATCAGAACTATCACATCGAAAAGTTTAAAAAAAAATTAGCCACAAGGCACTTTCCATAAGGATTGTGCGGGGTCCTTTCAGCACACCACTACTTTTTTACGTTTGTTTATTTTAAAATTTTCTGTCTATTTTGCTTTCTCTGCGTGCTCAAATTTTCCATTTATATACCTAGTTAGGATGCCCCAGCATCACCCCTGAAATAATTAAATTAAATTAAATCAAATTAAGTATTATTAAAAACAAGTCAAATTTTACCAAAATCGACCAAGTAGTTTTTGAGATATTTCAAAAAAAAAATATTTTTTTTTATAAACTTTAACACCCTGTGTCTCAAAAACATACAAGTTCATATGAACTTTTATTTGTGCGAGTTCTATCGTGTACTAAATGACACCCTGTATTTAAAATTCTGTTTTACTGGGTGTTTCTAAAATATGGTACTAAACTGAAACANTACTAGTTGAATATACCAACAGAATATTCAGCTGAAGGGTGAAGAGTTCAGTCATTTGATCTAAACTTGTAACGTCACATAGTAGTTTAAATGACTGACTATTCTCGCAAAAACGTAATATTCACTCATACTACACATACTACAACATACGACTTCACTCGCGAAAAAAAGCCTATAGTATATCTATATGAGACAGGGCAAAATTTTTTTGGATGCCTATGGATTTCGTAGAATTTATGAGAAGTGTTTTTATGCAGTTCCAATTGAAATCGTAACAACTATACTATTAATGCAATGTAATTTTACAAAAAATAATCAATGCTGTATTCTTAACATGCAGTATAAGGAGAAAAAAATTCAACTTTCGGGGGCCATAGATCCAAAATAAAGGACTTTCAGACTTTGTACCCATTGAGACTTTTGATCCACGCGATCAGAACTATCACATAGCAAAGTTTAAAAAAAAATTAGCCACAAGGCACTTTCCATAAGGATTGTGCGGGGTCCTTTCAGCACACCACTACTTTTTTACGTTTGTTTATTTTAAAATTTTCTGTCTATTTTGCTTTCTCTGCGTGCTCAAATTTTCCATTTATATACCTAGTTAGGATGCCCCAGCATCACCCCTGAAATAATTAAATTAAATTAAATCAAATTAAGTATTATTAAAAACAAGTCAAATTTTACCAAAATCGACCAAGTAGTTTTTGAGATATTTCAAAAAAAAGATTTTTTTTTTTATAAACTAACACCCTGTGTCTCAAAAACATACAAGTTCATATGAACTTATATTTGTGCGAGTTCTATCGTGTACTAAATGACACCCTGTATTTAAAATTCTGTTTTACTGGGTGTTTCTAAAATATGGTACTAAACTGAAACAAAGACAGGAAACGTCTTTTTAACCAAAAAAACTCTTATGTATATAGGTCCTAAAGCTCTAAAGTAAACAAATTACAGGGTGATAAAGGTGCACTGCCAAAAACACATTTTCTTTTATGACTCATATATTTGATTATTTATCGAGTGCAAAAATCTTATTGGGTAATATTTTTTTTTCATTCACAGGGGTGAAGATTCAGGTAATTGAGATTTTTTTTTATCTTGAAATCAGTAAATAATTCAGTCTTCCAAATAAAAATCTTAAAGATACGCACTTTTGTTTAATATCGATCATCTGTACCTTGTTTGTGAAAATTTGCGATAAATATTTGTATGTACCTACTTTAATGATGTGTATTCTGAACATTGATTGAATTGCTTTTACTGGTACTACATTATATCAATTAAAACAAAAAAAAAGGTTAGAGTATTAGTCCGTTATCTGCTCTAATATTTCACCAAGGTTTGGAAGCACTCTGCGAAAGTTTTGATTTTTAGAATCTCTGTCATGAAGTGTTTACAATATTTATAGTTAATTTTCCTCAAAACGGTGCAGGGATAAACAAATATTTTGATCAATAATGATGTTTTTTTTTTGAAAAAGTAACAATAAAAATGTTTACAAACGTGTGGTACCTCATACACGACATTTACATTCCAAAAATAACTTTTTTTTTAATTGTGTTTAATAAGTTTTAAGGGAAATGTAACTAGTATACATATCTACTCAATGGGTTTGACTTTTTCAGATATTTCCACATTAAGTGTCATTTTAATTTTATTTAAATATCTTCATTTGTTCAGAAGATATTTAATTTATTATTTATTTAAATACTTTCCAATCTGTGACTAAAAAAGAAAGGCAAATATTTACACAGGATAATATTCTTATATTTGGATGAGGAAAAAGCTCTTCCAATTTTGACAAAAATGGCTTTGTTGGTAGAGATGTTTTAAAATCTTATGAGCTTTGACCTTCATATGCGCAGAAACATAATTCCGACCGTCGCCTAAATTATTATACATCCTAAAAACATTACACCAATTATTCACAGTCTCTCTCGAGCTCTATCGTAAACAAGCCTTTGATCCGATTACAAATATCATAATAAAATGCCCTATTCTTTATTATTTTAATTTAAACAATAAAAATATATATAACGAACGTTCGCCAATTGACTTTATTGATGCCCGAGCGCCTTAGTTCATTTCTACTTGTAATGATGCACATGGTCTAGTTCTGAGTCGATGTTTTCACAACGTGCTTATTAGAAGAATTATGGGGATATGCCACGCCTTTCGCGGCTCATGAGATTTTAAAAGACCTCTACATACGCACTCTTTCGTGGAAATTTTGCATGATCGTTTTGCACAAATGCAGCTGAATTTCAATGATACTGCGCTCAATTTCCTCGTTCAATATAGGCATAGGTGGTTGTAGGCTTCTTGACATAAACCTTAGACTTCAAAAAAATCAAAAGAAAAAGTCTAACAGCCTTAAATCCCAGTATCTGGGCGGCCAAATTATTTTTGATGTATTGTCCATCCCTAGCCACTACTTTTTCTCATTTTTCTGGCAGCATACGGGTTCCGCATTGAAAGACCAACTCATCTTTTGATGTTATCCAACAATCGATCCAATTTTTCGTGTCTTCGCAAGATTGGAAAAGTGGCTTAGCCAGGCCATGTTCCATGGATCGGAACAATTAATCTGATGGAGCAATATCTAGTAAATGTGGCGCGTTGGGTTAAACATCCCATTCCAGAATTTCTAAGTATTGTTTGACTTCATTTGACATGTGGGCGAGTGATGTCGTGTTGAAAAATTACTTTATCGTGCCTTTGCTCGAATTGCGACCGTTTTTTGTTCAGGGCACAGCTCAGGAGCATCAATTGTGTAGATGTTTTTTTTCAGTATTGTTCACCAATGATGGTTTCATTCTGTAGAAGCAGTTCATAGTACACAATGCCAAGCTGGTCCCACCAAATGATAGAGTATGAGCTTCGGATTATGAACATTCGGCTTTGTCGTCGATGTTCATGCATGACCAAGCAAACTCGTTGATTTTCTATGTTTAGCGTATGTCATAGCGTATCCATTTTTCATCATCAGTGACGATACGATGCAAAAAATGCTCTCCTTTTTGCTGTTGAAACATTTGTTCACACGTGAAAAATCTCCTTTCAACATCTCTCAGCTTCAATTTGTATGGCACTAAATTTCCTTGCTTTTAAATCATACCGAGCGCATTTATATATTTGGAAACTGTTATGCGTTCAACATTCAATGAATTAAATCAGCAAGTTCATCTTGCGTTTGACATAAATCTTTGTTGAGTAATGCTTCTAATTTCTCATCTTCGAACTTTTTCAGTTATTTTAGACCAGGACGTACTTTGTCAACTGTATCGAAATCACCATTTCTAAAATGTTGAAACTAATACTCACACTTTTTTTATCGATGTTCACTGTAATTTTTAACATTACATAATGACTTTCAGCAGCACTTTTTTTTTAATTAAAAAGGTAAATTAAAACTTCCCGGCTTTGTTACCGAAGTGTCCGATGCAATATAGTATAAGTTATGCCATCTTTTTTAAATCCGTAAAAATTAATTCACAGTCTTGGTGTATTAATTTTTATTAGAAATACCGGTGGCATTTAAAAAGCACTAATCGAGTTTCTAAAATAGTGGATGGCATTGAAATTCTGATACTTCTACTGGTTGACATATTTAGAAGTCAACCTAACACATTTTTACTTCTAATTTAATAAATCATTGCCTTAAGTTTCATCAGTCTATTTCAAAATTCTTTTTTTAATATCAACATACTGCATGTTGAAAAAAAGTACTACGACTCATGTTCCTGTGAGATTTCTTCTGCTTATAATGATTTGTTCCATCAGTTAGTGAAGTTTCTTGATTCAAACCAGGACCACCCTCTATATATTTTCTAATTTCTATAGTTTTTTCTTGAACTACATATTTTGTTTTACGGTATTTATTTGTTTGTATATTTTGCCATTTCTTAAAAAAAATACAAACTTTAAATGATTCTTTGTTTTTTGTATAACCAAAAATTTCACTTTGTAAAAGGTGAGAAGCAGTGTACAATAAAATTACTTTTATATTTGCTCCAATTTCAAACTTTACAAAGTGCACTTTTAAATATTCAGTTTATATCGTAATGAAAAGCTGTGTTTGAACTGGTGATAAGTACAACGTTGCTTAATTCTTTTTGTTTTGTAGGAACATAACTGCACCCATCCTACCACACGAAGCTGAGTAGTGGAAAAATAATATTAGAATTTAGTAGTGAATGTATTAGCATGTGTATTTAAAAATAAAACGAATCTGGTATCTCTTTTAGTACCAAGTACCAAATATCTTTAAACTCTGTTAAATCAGCATTCAGCACAAGCAAATGTCTTAGTGGATTATTTTAATATTATATGTATATTATATTGCTTATTATATCATTTATCATTCAAAACTTCATTGCAATATTTCTACTTTTTGTATTTTGTGATTTCTGTTGCTCAGTTTAGGTTTTAAAATTGTATGGAATGAATGAATTTTGTTTATTGTACATTGATTTTTATCTCTTCAGTAAGTTTGGTAGGGTGGGTGTTTTATTATGGTAAGATTTTTTTTAATATATTACTAGTATAAGTTGATATTTTTTATATATTGACCACCCTACTAAACGATTCTGATTTAAAGCAAAACTTAATAATTAATTATACATAATGTATCTGTGTCTCGTTACTGTTAAACTGATTATATTATTGTTAGTAACTTGAATAAAAATCTGTTAAAATACTCGATTCTAAAATAGTAATATTGCATTATTAAATATATTATAATTATAGCTGAATTTTATTTTAATGGTACTCAGTATATTTTATACTCGATAAGCTTGCACAGTTATAAAAGATAACTAATGTTGTCTCTTACATAGGTAAGTAATAATACATTTTCTTTCAGTACGTATATACAGGGTGTAACTTTGAGTGGGGGGTCCTATTTATACAGTGATAAGTGACAAATGTGTCCTCAAATAACGGCACACTTTAGTCGCAGCACATGCACAATTGGGAACTGGGCTGTGCATTGTTGTCAAATTTTATATTTAAAGGAAAGGTTATTAAAACAAATTTCCACACCACTTGCCGTAAGGTACTCCTCTTTGGAGGGTTCCTTTAGTTGAGTGGGTATCCACCACAAGTTCTATCATCCCACAAAAACTAAAATTTAATTCTTTTAAATAAGATGAACCATGAATCAGTACTGAACAAATAACCTAGCAGTAATCAATAATGATAAATGATATACATAAAAATAAATAATCTGTTTACTCACCAGATTTTTATAACATAAAACTTGAAATTTTGTGGCTAATTTTCAAGTGCTGGTACCAGGATCCTCTTCCACTGTGTTTAAAGTTTCTGGTTCCTAATTTTTCATTCTCTTAATTTGTTCTCAGCCAACATAATCTCTTAAATGTTGAACCAATCTGACCAACATTTTCTTATTCGGTACTTATAAGTTGGCATAATCTATTTGACATCATGATAAAAAGTAGACTAACTAAAATAACTTTATGATATTACTTACACCACACAAATGCACTTCATAAACACCCTCGCATAAACTGATAAAGTCGAAGACCAAAAATGTAACCAAATGAAGTAGTGAAGTATTCAGCCATTCCTATTTTATACCAGGTGCGAAGACAGTCGGTGTATCCACTTTCAAAGGCATGCCACAACAGAACAGTGTTTTTTTTAAATGTTCAGTGCTTCGTCCACATTAATATCAAAAGAATATGACTAGACTAGACTAACAAGTCATAATATTAATTCAATCTGTTTTCACAAAATTAATTTTCATTAGTTTCGCTGTTTAACAGTTGATTAAATAAAAATATTTACAAATAGTATCGTATCTACATACATAGGTACCAATATTAGTTAATATTTAATAAATCATGTAAATTTTTTATACATATTTTAGAAACAATACAATGCTTGTTTTTAATGTTCAGCGTTTCGACCACAGTGATATCATAAAAATATGGTGATTTTAAAATAACATGTCTTAAGTTATAGAAAAGCAATCTATTTGCCATATTATTTTCCATTGTCACTGCACAATGTTGGTTAATTTAAAAACAACTGATAACGTTGATAGTGCACTAATACACAAATTCCGGATGCTTCAGTTTATGCCGCCCAGTGGGGTACACAAAAACTATAGTACATTTTAAAAAGCTAATTATAACTCGACTATATTTGATTCTGGAAAAAATAATTTCAGATTCGTATTCAGGAGAAATATTACCCCTAAAAAATCTGACTCCCACTTACGGTTACACCCTGTATATTCCACAAATGAAGGGAAATTTTGTATGCAAAGGTTTGTCAGTATGTGTTATCCAACAAAAATAATGCTACATACATAATATGCATTTGTAATCATCCATAGGTTATTATTTTGAATCTAAATACTTTTTCTTGTTTAAACTGTGTTGGTATATATTTTTTTAATTCTGATGAACATAGCATTTGAACATTTATTTTCATTTTTCTGGATTTAAATTTTGTATCAGATAGCCTGTATCTCCGCCACTGGAGTATCTAAATTTTAGGAAAAGGCCTCAGATTTTGGACAACGTTTACATAAATACGTGCCCAATTTCAAATTATTTCACTTACTAGTTTTTAAATTATTTAAAAATATTGAAAATATTTTTTTAAATTTAACACCCTGTATCTTTTTCACGAAGCGTCCTAGATAAAAACTTTATACAAAATACTCCCCTTAAAATTCACCAAAGAGGTGTCATATTTGGTCACCGTTTGTGAATCACCCTGTATGAGCATCAAAATTATTCCCTAAAAAAATGCTTCATTTTCAAAATATAACCACTTTAATTTTCACAAGCCGTCACTGATTGTAGTAGCACTTCATTTATTTATAATTTCTTTGCTGATTTTATATTATTTTTATAGGGCAGTTAACTCAGGACAGAAAACGTCAGGAGTGCATTAACGAATTTATCCAAACAGAAAAGACCTATGTGCATGATATGTCAGTAGTACATGAAGTTTTTGAAGTTCCTTTAAGAAAAAGCAAATTAGTTTCTGATACAGATGTTGATAATATTTTTGTGAATTGGCAGGATATTCTTCAGTGCAACAAATACTTTCTAACAGATTTGCTGAACAATTATAACGCGGAAAATGACACAGTTGGACAAATAATTTGTCGACATGTAAAACATTTACCAACTTAATTTCTTATGACTAAAAATATTTTCTTTTAGTTACCTTTAATGACAGCTTACATAACATTTTGTGGAAAACAGTTAGATAGTGCAACTCTCTTACAAAAATTGACAGAAAACTCGACAGCTTTTAGGGAATTAGTAAAAAAGTGCCAAAATAATGTAGCTACAAAAGGAATGCCTCTCTCATCATTCTTGATAAAGCCTATGCAACGAATAACAAGGTATCCTCTACTTATAAGTAAAATCATGGAAAATACTCCAACAGATCATTTAGGTAAGCTGTTTCATTGATCGATTTTATTATATTATTAGCATTATTATTTATTGTTGTTTTTGCAGATTTTAAGTATTTAGAGGAAGCACTGCACATAGCAGAAAAATTTTTAAATAGCGTTAATGAGAATGTTCGTTTAAAGGAAAACCAGGAACGAATGGATTGGTTGCAACAATGTGTTCAAAGTGACTTAAACATAATTTTTAATAGTAATACAAATAGGTTAGGGCCAAGACAAATATTGCACTTTGGCATTCTTATAAAAGTTAAGAACAGCAAAGAATTATTAGGATTCTTATTTAACGATTTCTTTTTGTTAGTCCAACCTAATAGAAGTATAGGACCTCAATTTACATTCCAACGGAATAGTAATATAAGTTATAAGATGTACAAACAGGTAATTTGACAATTCATTATTTCAACAAATTTTTATTAATCATTTTTAGCCATTTTTGATACAACATTTATCTGTACATAGAGAAAGCACTGACACTGTAGAAAATGGAACGGATTCAAATAGAGTGTTAAATATGTACGATGAAAGAAACAATTATAAAATTGCACTTTTAACGTCTACAGTACACGAATGTAGTTTGTGGTTGAAAAAGATTGAGAGTGCGAAAGAAACACATGCCAAGGTTATTTCTATCAGCCGTCATGGTAAAAGAAAAACACGTAAGATTTTAAAAATTATATTATTAATATATGTATTAAAATTATTTTGGTATCATCAACTAGACAGGGATATTTGGTTTTCAACAGTCAGTTCTGTAGTGTAAATTTTTTTTATTGTGAACATACATGTTCCATATCGATATGTTTCAATTTTGGGGTATAAAGAAGAATTAATTGTATAATTCTAAGTCTAAAAAATGTTAAAGTGACCGTTTAAATTATGAAAAGTAAATAGAGACTTTAATTCATAAACCAGATAAAAACTTACCTTGTTCCACAAATGTTTAATTAGTAATAAAAATATTTTTGTTTTTTGTACTTGGAAACAAATAAAGAGTCTCCTTTACGATGAGAAATTTTAACACTATGATATGGAACACGTATACTGTAACTTCATAAAAATTGAATTTTATACTGCAGTAAATGTATTAGTCTATATTTTTATGTTACTGTCTTCAGTGTACAATTTCCTAAACTCTCAAAATTATGTTTAACTCAACATAAAACAAATATGAACAATATATACAGTATAACCTCTTTTATCTAAATAGTTATGAGCATTCATATTATCGATTTATCAGATCAGATCAGAGAAATAAAAAATATCTATAATGAAAATATCATTTATTATGGGTAACAAACTGTATATTTTTTTTATAAACTGTTTGTTGTGATGTATAAGTAGTATTTAATATATTAATTATTAATGTTTTCTTTTTATGAGTGTGGATTGTGATTTTTCTTAAGCATTTACGAGGCATATCCACAAAGTACGAGTACTGGCACTCTGATGCTCTGTGGTTTTTGTTTCCGACAAAGTTGGCAACACAACACTCAAGGTCAAGGTATTGGGAGCAGAACATGTGCTCATTTGTCTCAGTCAGTTGAGAACTGTTGTTGTAGTGGTGTGTTGAAATGAGTGATGCTATTTCGAATCTCGCCCGAGGAGGGCAATCCGGTTTCTTTTTATAAAGGGAAAGATGCCATTCTAGATTTTTAACGAAATCAAAACTGTTTATGGGATGGTGTGTTGAAAGGTACTAATGTGTACCAGTGGTGTCGTGAGTATAAAGCTGGCAGAACAAATATTCATGATGATCAAAGTAGAAAAATCATGGCAACTGTGTTTTGGGACCATAAAGGCATTCTCCTCATTGACTTTTTGGCCTATGGGGAGACAATTAATACTGCACAGTACTGTGAAATCTGAAAGCACTATGAAGGGTGATACGGAACACAAGAAGGGGAATGTTAACAAAGGGAGTGTGCTTGTTGTATGACAAAGTGCTTCTGCACACAGCCAATGCCACAAACCAATTTCTGGATTAATTCGGTTGGAATATTATCAACCGACCCGCTCACAGTCCTGACCTGATACCTTTTGATTTTCATCTTTTCTCTTCTCTGAAGGTGTTTATGGGTGGAAAATTGATTTTTACCAACTATGAGGTCCACAGTGCTATAAAGCAATGGGCCCGAGAGACGGCGAGAGATTTTTGACAAAGGTATCAGAAAGCTCATCCCTTGACTTACGAAGTGCATTGAAATAGGCCCATTCAGTAGAATTTTTTTTTGCATATTCCAAAAAGTTACCCTTTAATTAGTTAGCATGCCAAAAATCAATTTTTTGTTTCAACGAGAAATGTGTGAAATAAATTAATGAAAACAGAGCGCGGAAAAACGTTGATAAACCATTGCCTGACGTCATAATACCGGTACGGGCGACTGGCAGAGCATTGCGCTCGCTCTCATCCCATTCTGTGTTAATACATACGGTGTGTGGTTCGCTTGTCAGTTTCGCTAATCATTGTTTTTATGTCTAAATGGGTTGATACAGAGGATTGTTCAAATATTGTATAGTTCCAGGTTGCAAAAGTACCTCAAGATCGATTCCGAATAAAATATTTCATTACCGAAAAATTAAAAGTTTGTGTGATGTTATCCACGATATCCCAAGCCACGGTGTGCAATTCAAAACCACCTTCGTTTTTCTTTGGTTGCACGTCTAGGGAGTTGTAAAATATTATTCTTTGAACATTTAGAGCACAATTTTCAACTTTATGCCGGAAAAAAATTCTATCCCTATCCCATCTAAAAATTCGAAATACGTCGGCGAGAGGGACCTATAAGCAGTTAAGAACTACTCTCGTTTTTCTTTGATAGCCCGTCTAGGGGGTTGTAAATATTATTATTTGAACATTTAGAGCAGAATTTTAAAATTTATGCCGAAAAAAAATTTCTACTCCATCTAAATGTACCCGTTCACAAAAATTTCGAAATACGTCGGCGAGAGGGACCTATAAGCAACTCAGAACCACCCTCGTTTTTCTTTGGTTGCCCGTCTAGGGGGTTATAAATATTATTGTTTAAACATTTAGAGCAGAATTTTCAAATTTATCCCGAAAAAAAAAAATTTTTACCCCATCTAAACGTTCCCATCCACAAAAATTTCGAAATACGTGGCGAGGGGGACCTATAAGCAATTTATTTAAATAATAATATTTTACAACCCCCTAGATGGGCAACCAATGAAAAACGAGAGTGGTTCTGAGTTGCTTCAAATACTAGTCAAAGTACTACTGGCACATACACGTCGTCGCATACATCCACAAGTACCGAGTGTAGCACATTGGGTAGATTTGTACAAAAATGGAACGCAAAAGAAAAATGTAGAAAAGCGAACCATTTACGTCATTGAGAAAAATCCGAAAATGTATTTAGATATTCCAAGACATTCTATGTTTATAATAAATATGTTGTGTGAAAAATGCATTTCAACAAGACTTGATGTATATCTCTTATACACTCTCTATTTATGCACTTAAAAATATAGGTATATAATATAGGTAAAAGTATAGCGAATATCTACACATCTCTCCGACTGCTCGCGAGTTGATCGCCGAGTGGCCGGTATTGTGACGTCATTACCTGTTCTCCCGCAGTGTTGACCTTTTTAAGGCTCTTAAATATTCAGAATTAAATATATCACTTATTAATCCTATTGACCTAATTTTTTTTAGATATATTTAGGTGGTTAAATACTATCAGAAAATGAAAGAAAAAGTTTAAAATTATATATCACTGAATGGGCCTATTGAAGGAAACTACATCGAAAAAAAATGTTTGTTGCACCTTTCTGAGTATGTAAATTTCTCATATGTATACTGCTGTTTCAATATAAAAAAAAATTAGTACCTATTGTGGATATGCCTTGTAGTATTACTGTAAGAGAAATGAAAGGGATATCGTTGTTAGTGTAAATTCATACAGGTTGTTAGAAACATGAGTGCCAAAATTTGAATCGGTCCATATCCAAATGTTTAAGAAATGCTTTAAAATTTGTAAATAATAAGCAATTTTGATATGGTGTTTTTCTTTGTGTTAAGTTTTTATAATTTTTTTTATTCCATTGGATTTTTAAAGTTTTGTTTTATATGTTTATAACAAATATTTCTCCCCTAATACTTACATATTCAACACATTATTCTTTGTACTAAATCAGGATAATTTTAAATATTTGCACTGATTCGAAAACTTGTTAATCGCTAAATACTATTAAATTAAGGCAGTCATGTTGCTAATACCTTGTATTATCAGGGTTTGCTTTGGATATTTGTAAACATTGCTTCTTTGTCTATGCAGAACCCCAAATGGGGCCAACCTGTGGGCGTCTTCTTGTTCTTGTGCAAAAGGGAAAGCGCTTTATTTCATCCGGTAAGATTTATAATCTTTCTATTACGATATTTCAGTTCTTAGTGCTGGCAGGTGGTTGTGTGTTACTATACTGGAAGCCATAGAAATCAATAAGATATGTAACGCTCAGACTTGTAGTTATGCTCGAAAAAAAGGTATTGGTAATTAAGCACATATAGAATTTTAATTTAAGTATAAATCGTAGAAACAAAAGTAAACGTAGTTTTATTGTCAGTGCCAAATTATGAATTATTTATTAAATATGTACGTTGGTCACATAATAACATTCTACTACTTCTAACTTTTTGCTTTTTGGAAAAAGTTAAATCAGAGTTCTTCTTGTAATTTCAAAACAGTATTGAAAGTTGCATTTTGAAAATATGTAAACCAAACTTTTGTTATTTTTTTTAATTGTAAATGCTGTATATTTTTACATACATATTTTAGGTTTTCTGAACTTCATATTTAATAATTTTTTTTTACCACATTGTATAAAAACTGCAAAATTTTCATGTCAAATCCGATTAATTAGGTCTTTCTCTACAAAATGTCCAATTCCCACACAAAAATAAACCTGTGCTTCCGGGAAAACTAAATTTTGCTGACAGTCTGCATCTGTTAAGGTCCTTGTTTGTTTCACAATCACTTTCTAGTGCATATATTGCACTTATGACACTCTTTTCGCCATATTTCTCTTACAGTTAGAGATAAACTTTTTAAACTTTATTTTATTTAACAAAATATGTATAACTATACAGGGTGTTCTGTGTAAAAAAAGTTTTTTAGAAATTTTGTCTTAAAAATAAATCCGATTTTCATTCTTAAGACGAAAATAAAAATGTTAAATTTATGATTGTATTTTCTTAATTTTTTAACACTAAACTAACTATATTTGCGTTATATTTCGCATCAATTAACTTAATTTCTACAGAAAATGTTTTTTACTTGACAAACATTGTCTTCTATATGAGAGTGGTAATTTTGCAAACAAAATAATATTTCTAACTCAAGATCAAATTATTTTTTAAGGAAATTTTAAGGAAAAAGCATAATAAATTGTGTTCCTAAGTATTGTTTTAAAATAAAAAAAAAAATCATAAAATTTTATTGTAGGTGCAATAGCAAAATAGATAAGAAGTGTAGAATGTCAATTCCTTATATTCGAATTGTGCTGCAAAAAGTAGTAATATTAAAGACATATATTTTCTTAGTAATAATTTATTCTAAATGAAGCCTTGATAAGTTGCATATATAAAATAGTGTTTTGTTCGAAAATGTCTTTTATTGTATCAGTATGGTATTTAACAAAGGAATCTATAATATCATTAATATATTTAAACAGGTTTCAGACAATTTTTATAAGCCCTAAAACAACATGTTATCAAGTCTCAGTCCCACAAAGCCATAAAATATATGTCAGGGTTCATAACATTTGTTTGTGAAATGTACCTAACTAAAATTGCTACTATTTAGAAGTCACTAAAAAGTACTAAAATTGACCAATAAATTACAACCACTTCATGAAATTTACCGCAATTTCTGTATTACAAATACTAATTTATTTAATTGAAAAATGTTACATGAAAAACAGGTTTTACACAGATCCTTACACTTTTTAGGAAAATCACATAATGAAAATATTTATTGCAAAGTGACATTGGGACCTCAGGAACAACAAACTGATATTGCAAAAGAAAACATTAATAACGGCAATATTCCCCAAAGTGGTATACCACAAATACCTTCTCTTGTGTGGAATTACAGTATGCAATTTCAGTTAAGGAATATTAACCAAGAAGTGCTTACGTTTGTTGTGTTGGAACAAAATCCATTTGCGCCAGACGGTAAGTTTTTAAATATATATACATATTCATAGAAAAATATATTAATAATTTTTTTTTCAAAACTGTATTAAAAAGTTAATTTTTGTGTGACATCTGTCGGATATCAATCAAAAATTGTTTTTTTTGTTTACAGGATGTAAAGTAAAAGTGTATTGTGTATGAGATTCTTTTTACTGCACACATGTAAAATTGCAAAAGTAAGTTTGGCAACATACAAGTGCATTAAAAAAAGGATTACATACAATGCTTATTTGGATCCATGCATACTAATTCACTGAATCACTGTGTCACTAAAAAGTTAATATTTTTGCATCAGATTATAGTCCATTTTAATAAAGCAAAAAAGTTGGTGAAAAGCAAAATCAACCTGTCTGAGTTTTAGAATTACGTGTTACTTTACGAGCACACTGTATAATTTGATTATTTTTTTTTTAGAGTTTTTAGGTAGAGCTGAACTGAAATTGAAGGATATACTGAAAGAATCGCAAAATCACAATGGTCCAATAACTAAAAAATTAATTTTACATCAAGTTGAATCCGGAGAACTTGTTGTTAAATTGGATTTACATCTATTTAATAGCTATTAGACGAAATATTGTTTTTGTTTAAGATTTTACTGTAGATAATATATTTGTATAGTTCTGTTAATGTTATTAATTCTCTATTTTTATACTGTTATATTTGATGTTTAATAATTTGTATACAACCTTTATTCAATCAAATTTCACTTGCTCACTATATACATATTTATACAAATATTTTTTGATTCATCGTTTACGGTGATAATATTTTGTTTCATTTATATGTATGATTAGTATTATTATCTGACAATACATATAATCATACTATTGTATGCTTCTCTGCAGTATTTATAACAAAATGTAATATTTGTAATAAAAAAATACATGTATGTAATTGCTATTTACAGTTCATTTTTTCTATGAAAAATAATAAGTACCAGTGGCGGCTCTTGACTTCTACAACAGGGAATTAAATATAATTAGGTATGTATTTTATTTTAAGTACCTACTATTGAAATATAGGGAAAATGTACTCAACATTATTTTTTATAAAATTCTTCTGCTTTTGTCCGAAATAAACTTCAAACCTCAAAAAAATTAGATCTTAAAATGTAATACAAATGTAGCATAACTAGCACCCTCTATAAAATATACAAAAAATAATTAGACCAGCGTACTTGACGTCCTTAAAAACCTCGGAATACCAAATTTCATAAAAATATTTTGCACCGTTTGGAAATTTTCGTAAAAATTCTATTTAAAAAATTTTATTTTGTCACTCTGTATCTCGAAAACAAGAGGAGATAGACACATAGTATAGACAAAATTTTTTGTTGTACCATCACTATCTGAATTTACGGGAGGTCTTTCTGAAACACCCTGTATATGTGAGTTATTAATTATAAAACTATCAATATGGACGTATAGTATGGACGCGTTGAATTTGTTGTTGAAATTTTTAATCAGAAACTGGCTGTGATTGGGGTAAGGGGTTTAGGATCTTGGGGTTCAGCATTTATGTTACTTTTTATTTTTGTAACTTGCTGCATGTGGAGTAGGTAGATGAGATTAGAATTTGAGTATATAGTATATGGCTTTGGGTGGCGATCCGTCTCGATTTTACCGCGTCGGAAGCGGGGCCATCAAGGGTCTAAGAGAACCAAAAAAGACATCTACCGATCATCTTAAGGGTGTAAAAACAGTATAAAACCTTGGTAGATGCAATAGAATGCACGATATCCCGAGCGTAGTCGCTGCGTCGATCCGCTATAAGTCCCTCTGAATAATTGCACATACCGGGATTAAATTAAAATCTACAAAACTGTTAGGTAGTTTATGATAATTGTTGTTAAATAAACGTCTTCTACCTTCGATACAAGATGGCTAAAGCTTCGGTAGACGTGGCTAAAGTTTTTGCGCGGGAACTTAAAACCGTAACGCGCAATAAAACACCCAATTTAAATATTAATTCTAATTTTTCGAGTTTACACCATTATTAAAACGTACGATATAGTAGTTACGAACGAGCGTAAGTGCGCAAGTTTTTTTCTAGTATAATACATTTTTTTTTACAATAAAACCTAACCTGAGTTAATCAGTTATTTTTTTTTATTAAGAATCAAGAAAATCGGAAACCTCGCTGAAAAGTAGATGGCCTGTGTCTAGACTAGACACATATTCGATGATTTTGGTATTTGGGCGATAGGCAAACTTCGCGCTCATCATCCTCGATTTTTAGCTAAGAGCTGGATATTTATTTCTCTAGTATAGGTTAGTTAAGAGCCGGGAAGTTAATAAAAACAACATTTTTGTTAAAATTAATAGTTTGTTTATTATATTCACTCATATACAGAGTAATTCAACAAATCCAAAAAAATTTGGGAATAAATATTTTTATAAAATCCTTATAGTTCAACCATTGCATTGTTGGACAACTGATGTAGTGTCATTCGTGTTATGCGCTTTACGCAATGCGCATGGAGAGCTACAAGGCCTCAGCGTCTCGGAATACTGAAATCTGATTTTACAATTAGTGTTAACGTCGTTGCGATAGTGTTTACAATAGTTTTTTAGTAGTTGCTGTCAAAAATGGCTTACGTGTATAGCAACTCGGAGTTGATGGATATCGTTTTAAATTATGTTGACGCAAGACAACACTTGTGTTAGTTCTGTAGGAATTTTGAACAGTTGTTGTTACATCAGGTATGTTAAACTATTTTAGTAATTAAAATCACAAAAGCAGTTGAATTTGCTGATATAAAATAGGTGTTACAAAATTCTATTTATTTGTGAAATTCTTTCAAGTTTTTGTCCGTTCATTTTTTATTACTCTTTGGCGCCGTGCCGATCGCCTTGTGCTAGGTCAGGTTTTACAGAGTGGACCAGTTTCCAGTGCCGTACAGAAGTATATTTTTAAATCATTTTCGAACTGCCCTTTTTGATTTTTTTTACAAAATTGTATTTATAAGTCCCCTGTACATTCAAAAAACTATTTTTTTTGGATAAATTCTGAATCACCTTGTGTATACAGGGTGATTATACTGTATGTATATACAGACGTACGTAGTTCAAATGCGCCGTATTGTACGGGAAGTAAAATCTATTAACAATTGCAGTGAAGCTTTGGAGCTGTTTCGTGGTTCTTTGGTATTTGCGCCTTCCCAAGTCTACCAAGACTACCGAGCGACTAGGGCGACTTAACTAAAAAATTCGAAAGTTTTCTTCGTTAGTCTTCAGTTGTCGTGCAAATTTATTTACGAGTTCCTGAGATATGTAACAAAAAAATTTACTTTTTTTCAAAACTTGAAGCTAAGTTTCCTATAAAAGTAGCGTAGCGCCGTAGCAAGAATCGATATTTACGACTGGTAAAAAAAATCTAGGCACTTAAGTAATATTTTACTGTGCTTATTGTATCTATTAAAAATAAATTTATACGAGGTTTGATTGAAAAGTAACGAGAATTGTTAATTTTTTCAGAAATCTAATCTTCAATTTGTATCCCATCCCCTTCAAAGTAGCCTCCCTGTAATATTATACACTTATGCAGACGTAGTTTTCAGTTTGAGAAACACTGGTGGAATGCCTCTTTAAGTATTGTCTTGAATACGGTTTGCGATTTTGTCTTTGTCTTCTCTATTGTTGAAAAACGTTCTTTGGGCATCCTGTTGAGTTTGGGAAATAAGAAAAGTGACAAGAGTCATGTTCGTAGAATAGTGTGGTTGCGGTATCACAACGGTGTTATGTTTCTCCAAGAAGTGTTGGATAAGCAAAGCGGTATGCGCCGGTACGTTTTTGTGGTGCAAAATCCACGAGTTGTCTCTAGTGTCTTGTCGTTGTCTTCTGATTGCCTCGCACAATTTGTGCAAAACTTGTAGTAGTAGTACTCCTTGTTAATTGTAAGACCGAGCAATAAAAATTCGTATTGAACTATTCTAATGACGTTGAAGAAAACGGTTAGAAGAACTTTCACAATTGACCAGGTCTCGCCTCATCTTCGTTGTCTTTTTGGCCTTCCTGAAAACATTTGTACCATTGATAAACGTGGCTGTGACATAGTATCGTCGTCAAAGGCCGTATTTTACATTTTGAACGTTTCACTGACCTTAATTCCGTTTTTAACAAAAAAATATAAGACAAACTATCTGATCTGACATGTCGCCACACAAAAAATCACCAAAAACACTGAGGCAAGTCTTACTCATTCACTCGCTAATTACAAACTAAGCGTGACAGCTGCGTGAATTGGCAGGTATGTTATAGAGAGAATATTTCAATGAACGCCAATACATAAGAAAATAATCAACTCGATAGACAAGCCACAACACGCGTTACTTTTTATTAAACCTCATATAAACAGAAATATTACAGAAAATCTGAAAAAATAACGAATGATACTGGATTGTAAGAAATTTAAAGAAACGTCTCTATTTTCAATTGGCCATCACAGAAAATAAAACTGGAAAATACTATATACCCATAGACCTTATAAACTTACTAGGTGTATGTAGATACCTATCTTTCAAAAGAATCAAGATATCAGAACGCGGTTTTGCTGTTCAACTTTTCAACATATCTGTATCAAAATTAAGACATACCATACAACGTATAGTACACGCTAGTGACGCAGATTGAAATCAGTCTGTATTCTGCTTCACTTCCGTAGCGTTGTTTACGGCGGTTGTCATGGCAACGAGGCGGCCAACTCGGGATTATACTACGGCGTGGGGGAACGAGTGACACAGAAATTGAAGCAGTATCGCCCATCGCCTGCCTTTACCTTTAACAGTTTATACGATATGCGTCGCCCAGTGCACGATTATAACGGTTCTTAGTTAATATTTCTTTTGTATAAAAATTTTAGAAATGTTTTCTATGTATAATCCAGTGTGTATTTTATTGGAAATGCCATTTTTCAGATGGAAAATTGAGGACAAAAAGGATTTTTTAAATTGTCTTATTCTCTCGAGAAGGAAAAAAGGGGAAGTCAAAAGACAACGTGCGTACGTTGAAAAGTTTCGGAATGAATGGTATTTGGAGTATAAGTGGTTGTCTGTTATGTGGAAGTGTTCATTTAAAAAAACTTTTCTGTATGCCGTGTTTAATTGTGGGTGTAAAGTCGGGCGTGTGTGTGGAATAAGAAGGGATTTAACAATTTTGGGAACGTCACGGGAGGCTGTCGTAACCCCAAAGCTTGTTTGGAACATACATGATTGTACGGTGTGCGTTAATGTTCGCAAAAGTCCACAAGCCGAACTAATATTTCTATGTTTTATAAAATCTAAATGAAAATCCTTCTCACGAACGTTAGTTTTTCGGTAATATTGCAAATGCAACTAAAACTTTCCAGATTCATTTAAAGCCGTTTGACCTTGAAAATTTGAAACTTCCCCAGCGCCATGCCAGCTGCGTTTCTTTTCTTTATAGTCAGTCAATGAATATATTTCACCTATTCTCAATGTCACGAGCCGCCACTGTGTTTTACAGTTTTGACTACCGCTGGTTCACAGTTGCGATATAAGATGCTCCTATGGTTATGTTCAAATTTTAGAACACCTTGTACATTTTTAATGTAGGTATTTGAGAGATTGCTTGATTACTTAAAAGACACATTGGTTGTTTGTATTTTATTAGAAAATTATAAATATTCAATGCCTATTTTACAAAATAATAATTTAAAATAAATAATTTAAATATTGTCTTAACATACTAGGTAAGTCTTTTCATATAAAAATTCATCAGACAAATTATTTGCTGAAAATAATTTGTTGATATCCTTAACGAGATAACATTAACTTAGATTATTTGGATAGGTAGGTATATAATTTCGAAGTATGTTAACAGTCTATTATCAGCGCATACTGCAAAATTATATTCAACACTAACAATTTCCCCGCCAGTCACCAAGTCTTTTAATTAAAGTCTTTTTCACTATTTTGTGTTTAATATTATTCTTCCCTGTCACTGGGGACATTTCCTGGGAGCTTTTTTTCATCAGGAAAGTTGTAAATTGGTTTAAATCCTCCTTCTAATTGAGGTTTAAAATTTTCAATATCAAATTCTCCTGTAGTCGCATATGATACTGTTGTAAACTCTGTTACCTCAGTCGTAGTTTTATTCTTATTCCTAACAACTGACCAACCTTGATTTATCGAATGGTCTATATTTATGCTAGCTTGAAAAGGAGCTTCAAAATCAAGTTTAGTGTGATTTGGAGTGTCGATATTATTTTTATGGTTGGAATTTTGATGATGTTCATCCATTCGTTTATTTAATTCATCTGGAATGTTTTCTTTTGCTATATTGGTTTGATGATGAGTATGCATGACGGCACTCACTGTAAATTCACTGTTTGAGTGACTCGTATCGGCATTTTCAACTGTTCCGGGTCGTATTTCTGGAATAACTGGACTCCCATAGTTAGGCATTGAATATTTGTCAGCATTTAAGTTGGGTTCGGTGGGTGTGTACGCTACGGCGATAGGCTTTTCAGTGAATGTTTTAAGAGTTACTGATATTTGATTTAAATTTTGTTTTTGAGAATTTACAATTCTAGATTCAATGTTTTCTCCAATTGTGTTCCATTGATTGTTAGACAAATAAGTTGGTTCTTCGACAAATTTATTGCCCGCGCTGTCATCTAGACCATTACCTGTATTTGAGGGTGTTTCTGGAACGGGAGGGTGAATTACTGCTGGATCTGGACGTTCTAATGGATACGGAAAATCAGATTTTACTGGAAAAGATGACGGTCTAGGATGTGGTTTCAATATTGGAGCATCATTACGATCTTTCTTATCGAATAGTGGATTTTGGTCATACGTAAAATCTGTATTTATCTTTGACGGTGGTAGAGGCAGTTCAGCTCTGGTTCCAATCACTACGCTTTCTGTCTTAGTATTGTCTATTACATCTAATTTTATTGGAGGGGTATTTACTGGATATACTTTATATATCGTCTTTTCTGTATTATCATTGAAACTGCTCTCGGCTGGGATATTTACGACTTGAGATTCTTCTAATGAAGACTCGGTTCCGATCTTTTCAACTTTTTCCGTATTTTTGGCCTGTATCATTTGTAACGTTTCAACCTCAGCCATATCGTCGCTGTTTCTTCTGTTGGCAATTTTAATTTGGGGAGGGGTTTGATAAAATCCGAAGTGATCTGTCTGTTGCGATGGTTTTCGTGGTCCTTCATTAATAATCCTATCTTGTGCAATTTTTGTTTCATCCAATGATTGCCTAGGTGGAATAACAGAAGGAACACCTTTCCTTAAGTTTTGGATATTCTTATGAACAGGAAATGGTGGCGGTGGTGGATGTAACTTTTCAAAGAATGCAATGGGTCTGTTTGATGGCCTCTCTAATAATGGTTGTCTAGCTAATTTATTACTTAAGTAGTGCCCTGGGGAAATATGTTTATTCATATTTGGCCTAAATTGTGGTAATATATTCGGTAAATTATCGATCCTTTTATAAGCCATTTCAGATATAGGACGAGGGGGGCGATTATATTCTGGTTTACCAGTATGAAAATGTCCTGGTCTAGGATCCCAGGGCGGTCTTATTGGTCTTTGATCTCTTCTTAATGGGGGTATTACCTCTTTTTCTTTTGGAGGAGTTAAATCGCTAGGTAACTGGTGATACATTGGCTTTGAATTTAGTGGAAGGATGTCGCGACTCGGAAAAGGAGCTTGTAAGGGATGAGGTTGAGCTGGAGGGGGTATTAGATCTGGAAATTCAGGTTGTTTTTCATCAGGAAATACAATTTTGGAACCTGCATCCTTTGGAAAATCTATAGGGTTATTACTTAACTCCAATTTTTCATCTACAACTTGACCTGGAATTTGTTTGACTCCACCTACGGGTACGCCAATAGCCAACGACGCTTCAGAATTCTTCAGTGGCTGAATGGTCACTGCACTGCCAACTACTTCTGGATAATTTTGTCCTAACGGTATTAGCGATTGGGCTACTTGCGGATCTGTTTCAATAACGTGATTTGGAGAGCCGCCATTACTATACATCGCTTGTTGTCCGTATAAGGGTCTAAAGGGATTACTATCATATGGGCTTTCCTGTACTGAGGATTCAAGATATTGACCATTATCGACATTTTGGTGGTTACCAACTACAAATGACACTGTATCTTGATCAGGGGCAATGTGGATATTACTTGTACTAGGTGGTTGTCCTGCTTGATGTGTTACCAACGTAATCGGTTCATTCATGGGAGTTTCAAATGGTTTTGGCAGTACCTTTTCGCTATTTAATTTCTCACGTAAATTTTGCGTGGCGACAATAATTGGATCGTGGTTTATTGGTTCACGATTAGCATTGGTTACGTGATTTTCACCTAAAGGTAATGATGTAACCCTAACTGTTATGGTTGGGGTAGTGAATGTGGTTTTTATAGTGGATGTCATAGGTTTCATACTCGTGGTGGAAGCTACGGTGGTTGTACTTGCTGTAGTTAAGATTGCTTCTTCCTTTTCCTGATAATCGTATTCGTCATAACCAGTTATAACATATTTTGCAGTTGTTGTTTCTTTTAGTTCATTTTTGATGTTATTGTTATTCTCAGAATGTTTTACCGTTTTATCACTCTCTATTTTTACTACGTTTAGAGGCTCTATTTTTAAATCATCGTCAACGTTTTTTATTGGTCTATTTTCTACTGCTATGTTGTCATCATATTTTCCAGTTCCATAATCTTCATAATCATAATTTGTATCGATTCCCATACTACTACCTGAAAGAACATTTGGACCCCCATGTGAATTTTGATAATAATTATAACTATCAGTTGCTACAGGTGTTGTCTTAGATGATGTTTCAATATTTATATATTCTTTTGAGTTGTTTTTATCGGTAATATAAACATCATGGTCAATTTTTGGAGTCGCTGTTTTTACTGCAGTGGGAATTGTTTCCTCGTAATCTCCAAAAAGTTGTTCAAAAAGGCTTAAAGGTCTTTTTGTCGTAAAAGAAGGTTTAGAAGCTAGATAGTTATTATTAACAGCTTCAGTTGTTATATAAATATTTCCTGGTTCTGTTTGCTTTGCTGTGGAAGAAGGCACCTCATAATCAAACTCTTCATTGAAACTTGGATGAGACATTTCAGAATGCATCAAATTTATAGGTTTAGGGGTAAGGTAAATAGAAGGGTACCTTTTGGTTACAGGTACAGTTGTTGCCATAGTTGTTGTCATAACAGGTGTTGTAATAATCTTTGTTGGATTAAAATATCTGTTTGTTGAATCATAAGCAGGACTATCTGTTGACATTTTTGTTGTTTTGACATTATAATCCTTATGATTGTGGAATTTGTTGACACTGCCTTGGACCTTTGTACTAGAATAAGAATTTGAAATTAACGGATACACATATTTGTCTGGATTGTATTTCACTGGGAGGTTTAAAAAGTCGTGAAAATTTGGTGTTAACTGATTTACGTCGTTAGGTTTATGACCATTTATATTGCCATCTTTTCTGTCGATATTACTTTTATCATAAATATTGTCGTTGGGTTCATCGTCCACATATTCATATAAATCAGACTCTAATGTTGGAGATTTATGACTAAAATCGATTCTACCAGTCAACGGGTCCTTTTCTACATAAAATGGCTTTCCATGATTAAATATGTTTTCTGGTAAATTATAACCTGGCAGTACTAATGCAGATGGATCTGGAATTTCTTCAGAATTTGTTTTGTCTTTCGTGACATCTTCGATCTAAAAAACAAAGGGAAGGTATTAATTAAATATCGTTCGTTTTCGCGTTCTTTAAAACGCATTGGCGGTATTATACAGAAAAAATATACAAAAATTTCTATTACGCATCAATACAAATTAATTAATAATATAAATTATCTTCAACTGCTGTGGAAAGTTCTCTAATATAAATTATAAATCGTCATTGGTCTTAATGATCCGCTATGAAAGTAATAGCATAACTACATAGATGATTATGTACTTATCCACTAATTAATTTTCATCAACAGTACATTCAAAGAGGCAGCTGAAATTGATCCTAAAATGTTTTAACAATTTTCGTGATTCATTGATATACTGAAAAGATTTGGGTCTCTATTATGATATGTACAGAGTGTCTGAAACTCGATAGTATGGGCCTACTGTGAGGATATAAAAAATTTAAATAAAATTTGAGACAAGTGGTGTTAAATGGGATGACATGAGGTAAGCTCCATTTTCAATAGAAAGTATTATCTTTGGGATATGACAGGAACGAATAATGACGTCATCAATAATAGTTTTTCTAGAAACATACCCAAACTTTTTTCCTATTAAAACGCCCTCTTTTTTTCTAATACACTTTTACTAGAGACATTTTTCTGTATTACTTCCCGTTTAAAAGTTATAAGCAATATCGTCCTAAAGAGTATCAAAAGAAATACCACCTAAAAATCACATTAGCAGTGGAAGGATCAAATAGTCGTTGGAAAATATTTGAATGTTCGTTGTTTAAAGTGCAGAAATGTCATTAAGAATAAATAAAAGGATTAAACTCGATAATTCTTTAATACAGTTAAAACAAAAGGTGATGATAACAACAATTAAACTTAAAAAATGAGGCAAACGCTTTCATATTACATACGTATTACAATATCTATATGACCTCCTCTCATTTCAATCTTCGCCTGACTTATTTGTGGGCTGCGTTTATTAACATTTCGACGTTTAGATCATTACAAGCGTTTGTGATTTTTTCTTTCAAATGATTACTATCTCGCGAAGGTGTTTTGTAAATCTTAAACCTCCCATAAGAAAATCGAGGGGTGTTAGATCTGGTGACTTTCCGGGCCACTGAATAGGTCCAATAAGCCTAATCCATTTTTCTGGGAAAGTGTTATTTAACTATTGCTGTACAATCCTGGCCTTGTGGGGGAGCCCCGTCGTGCTGAAACCATAGTTTTCTCCTTAGGGGTCATTCATAAATTACGTCACACGTAAATGGGGAGGGAGGGTATCACCGAAATGTGACAATGTGACAAAGGGCAGGGGGGGATCAAAAGTTTTGTGACGTCACATGTTAAAATTTAAAATACTAAAACGCGAAATTTAGATGTGAATAAAAAACTATAAAAATCTACGAACTTGATCTATATTTATTAATAATTTAGCATTCTCGCCATCTGAAATATTGGACATTATGTTGATTTTATTAGATTATTTAATAAAAAAAAGTAAAAAATGAAAATAGCTGTTTTCTCTCGATTATTTTTAAATACATGCCTAAATTTAAAAAATGTGTGACGTCACATCAGGAGGGGGGGATTATAAAAATGTGACAACCTGTGACAAGGACGGGGGGAGGAGTTCAAAAGTCTTAAAATTCGTGTGACGTAATTTATGGATGGCCCCTTAGTTGCAAAGGCACATTCTTCTTGTAGGAAATTTAGGTAACTCACGCTGTTCAATGTATGTTTTATAAAAATAAGAGCCAATTAAATGCCTACCGATGATGCCACACCATACATTTACTCCAATATGGACCAGGTTTTGGACTGGATTTACAATGTGGGGATTTTCAATGGACCAGTAGTGTTCGTTGAGTCTGTTTGGCAAACCATTACTGACAAACCGACTTTTGTCCGTCCAACGAACGTGTCGAAAAAGGTTCTGATCAACAGTTTCTACATTTACAACAATTTGAGCTATAAAATTAAGTCTGTTTTCAATGTGACGCTCAGGCAAATACTCCAAATTGTGAATTTTGAAGCCATGATGATACCCAATGGTCTTTAAAATTTATTGAACGGCTGATTTATCCAACTTCAATTCTGGGCTAGTCGTGGATTTTGTTCGAATTACTGTAACAGTCTAGCTGTATTAACATTGTTTCTTATCCTTCGGTCAATTATTTGATTTTTCCGAACTGAAAATGCATCTTCATTTCGTCGCAAGGTCGCTTCCAATCTTGTAAAGGTTAGGTCCTACGATCAGGAATGAGGCGCTCCGGATACCTTTCTCGATATAACTCTATAGCTCTTCTTGAATTTTTTTGTGACTCGCCGTAAATTAGCAACATATCAACTTTTTCTGAATTAGAAAACATTTTGCAAGCACAAAAGTTATACGTTTGACGTTCGTATTGAGTAATGATGACAAGTATTTTGTGACATTTATGCATTTTTAAACAACGAACGTTCAATTATTTTCCAACGATTACTTGATCCTTTCACCGCTAATGTTAATTTTATGTGGTATTTGTTTAGTCTTTTTAGGACGATATTGCTTATAACTTTTAAACGGGAAGTAATACAGAAAAATTTTTCTAATAATAACAGGAAAATAAATTGGGTATGTTTCTGGAAAAAATATAATTGATGACGACATTAGTCGTTTCTGTCAAATCCCAAAGATAATACATACTTTCGATTGAAAATGGAGCTTACCTCATCCCATTTAACACCACGTGTCCCGAGATTGAGACAATCTGTACAAGAAATAATGAAATATTAAAACATGTTGAATTTTAGAAATGTTGATTATAATGCAGGAAGATTCCCGTTATTTTAAGAAAACTAAATAATACGTTGAAATCGTCTAGCAGGAAATAAATCAGTAATGCGAGTATAAAAATCAGCGTTATTAATCTCAATAATGGTTAATTTTTTCTTCATCCACTATAAGTTAAATATCAAATGGAATAGAATAATACAACGGTAGATCTATCTTTATAATACTGTAGGTATTGAGGTAACTTTTAAGCTGTTAAGAAATTTAATTGCACTTTAGAACAAAAACTCTGGACATCCTGCTCCTTGATATAATTGGAAAATGTTATTACCGGAGTGAAGCCTAAGCATCCATCTGCCTATGCTGTCAGAAAAACAAATACAAAAAACGAATAATAGCTCTGTTCCTAGTGCATTAGAAAAGGTTTCGAACATGCCTCTAACTGTTGGAAACTGTTTTGGACTGCTCCAGGAACCAAGCTAATATATCTGGGTAGAGTTTAATTTATAAGTGCAAATAGGTAACAGTGATGCGTGAATTTTTTATGTGGATATAAACTGATGTATCAGAACAAAGACCGATTATTTTTATGTAAATAAATTAACTGAAAAAGAAATCAAAATAGCGACTGTAAAGTACAGTACGTTTCTTATGGAATTGGCTACTTTTTCCACTCTAGAAACATAAATTTTAACAAATAATCCTTTGCGCCAAAAGGATCTATTAGTTGACTAAATTTAGTTTATCCATAACCAAAAATATCATACACCGAGAAGGTAGACAATTCTTTTAGAAATCGCTCCCCTTTCGTTCTCAAGAATTTGAGAAATGTGACAGGCTTTATTAGCTTTTTTGCCGCATTTAACTCTAAGTCAATGTTAAGTTTGCTACAAATAAATAATAGACAATACCATGGCATCTTACGATTATCATCAAAAGCATTTAGTTGGCTGTGGAAATTTCGAATGTTATTAATTTTATCAGATGATCAAATGATAAATTTGAAGTAAGTAGGTACTTATTTATAATGTTTATGTTATTATAGTTTACTTGGCATTTTTGTTATTTACTTACATCTCTGTCTTGAAGTTCTTCACTATCACTAAGATCGTACTCGTAGTAGGTATCTGTAACATTCAGTGTAGAATTGCTCTTGTTGTCCAGGTGTCCTCCCATAAGAGCTGCACTATAGGCTTCATTTATACTATATAATAATAATACGTTCGGTGTGGAGATCAGAATTTTTAGTAAAGTTGTTAATACGTATCTCAGTTCCATGTTGTGTCTGCAACAGAAATAATATATATCAAGTCCTGATGATGAAATAATATTGTTATAAAAACTGTACGAATCTGATTTATTATTGTCAAATTAAGATTTTTTCGCGTTACATTTTACAAAGTCATGTTCTTACTTTACAATTATGGATTTATTGACCAATTAATGTCTCAATAATAATATGTACCTACTTAATATTGAAACGCGAATTTTAAAATAAATTATTTCATAAAAATCATTGTCGAATTTATGATGTTATCAGTCTTTCCCCTACAAATTTGCTAAATTTTCACTTTCTGGAAGTTGAAGAAACAATAAAAAAAATACATTGAAGAAAAAACTTAAATACATATTTAGATATGATTATTGACTGTTACCTCAGATTGCAAGAACATATAAAAACATTCAAGTGATTAAAATCCGTATAAGGCTTTTGGAATTACCTGAAATCAATAATTATTGGATGGATAGGTGTTGGAAAAATGTTCTTAACGTCTTTAGATAATTTACAAAATAATTAATTATTTTGGATAAAGACAACAGATATTCTACTGAGCTTTTGTTTAGAAAATCGAACTTGTTTGCTATTAGACAAAACTGTTATACTGTCTTATATAATTACAAAATAAATAACAAGCAAACAATACGTTGCATAATTATAAAATCAACGTGCTTATTAAAAATACTAAACAAACTAAAACAAAGAGTTTAGTTAATAAGGACAAGGTATTCTTGTTCTTACGAAATAGATCACTCTGTATATATAATCTGAATAATTATTTATAAACTCTATATTTACAGAAACACCTATAAATTTCCTTACGGTATAAATCAATATTAATCTCTTATGGTATTAAACCATTATAGTATTATAAATTACTTGTTCTATTTCTGAACAATTATAATTATATGTACGTTTTCAATGTTCAATAAAGTCTTCACAATAATAACAATGTGGTAGGCGTGAATAACGGGTCGTAAGAAGAGAATCACGCATAAGAATTGGGAAGATTGGTCAAGGTTAAATTAAATCCTTGTCCGCGTTTGTTGGCCTACATTTTGGTTCATCAGGAAGTAAAAGGTATATGTAGGTGCTTTACAATAGATCGATTTGAGATTGAAAAATTTTATTGTACTTCGGTTTTAGATAGGCAATTAATGCTTTTATAATATATAATGAATATACAAGATGGTTCGTATTGTTATGTTCGAATTTTGAGACCATAAATTAGACTCAATCCTAAGACTAAAAATTAGTATGAGGTTTTTTATTGTTGCGAAGTTACTATGAAATTACGAGAAGTAGATAAATAGGTTTAAGTTTGTAAATCAGTTATAAGCATTCTTATTGTAGGTAAGTCAAAAAAACTTATTTGAAAATTATTTTAAATATTCAGCGCTATCCAAAAAATTTGCACCATATGAGAAAAAACTTTATGTATAAATTTAATAAATTCCTTCGATTGTCAGTTGTCGCTGCCTGTCGTCAAATTAAAATAGCACCTAAATGTAAAAGTACCTAATAAGGTTATGTATTTTCTTGTACCCAAACCGCTTATTTAATCAAAATTCTATAGGTGACCCAAAAACTTCCAAATGGTATCACCTATCAAATTAAAAATAGTTGTTATTACTGCCCTAAAGAGGAAAAAGTTATGAACGGATAATCACACATCAATTTTGTTGGAATTGTAAGATTTAAAAAACACTATATATAACACCAAAGTGTGTAGATCGAAAGCAAAAGTTCACACCCTAAAAATAATCAAAATCAATTAATACGTATTCGAGATATTTACAAAATTCAAAAAATTTCCACAACCTTTGAGGTCATCTAGCGGCCAAACGAAGCGATTTCGGATATAGGTGAATTAGCCAAATCTGTCTATTTTGAGTCCATGAATCTATGGTCTTTCCTAGTACACGTTATTCTGGAACACCCCGTATATTAATTTTTTGAGTATGTTTCAAATAGCCTATTACTTTTAAAATAGAGTTAAAAAATAATTAAAGTTTTGTGAAATAACAAGTTTTTATTTGGTTTACGAATTTAAATATTTTTATTTACTCTTCATATTTTCAGTCCTGTTACTTCGGTATAAATAATCAATCGACCTACATTTCTTTATTTTTTAGTCTTATGCATCCAAAATTTTTGTATAACGGCAAGGAACATCTTCTGTAAAAGTAACAAAACTGCAGAATATTTATAATTTTAGTATCATGTTTAGGTATACGTAAAATTTATAACAGCTTTAAGGGCGAAAACAAATATTGATTTTGACGTTCTTTATATTTTAAACAAAAAATTACCATGTTTTTGAAAAACGTCGATATTATAATTTATAAAATTCAGCATTTTAACACTTTAATCTATTAAACTGTTAAACGGTAAGTAGATGAGTTATAAATACTTTCCCTTTTTAATTTGCACCTTTTCTCGAAGTTTCTACTAAATTTGCTTAGATGTACATACATAAGAACATATAACTTTCTATTTATTACGTTTGTTTCTTCACATTGAACTACTCATCGTAGTTTATGCAACATCACATATTATATCAATGAAACGTACCTACTTGTCAATCTAAAGTATAATCGAATACCTATCAATTTTATAACAAAAAACGTAAACAACTCTTAAAAATTTTAATCTTGAAAGTCACCAGTAGGTCACGATGCATGACAATAATCTAGAAAGGAAAATATTCGGATACAAAGAATACATTAGTCAACAAAATTCCAACGTACCTATATTTAAAATTAGTCATTATTTTGCCTGTGAAAGTTTGTATTATCTTTTCTTCGTCATGAATCGATGTGACCTATATTTAAGCACGATTTTAGCTCTGTCCCAAAGAACAGTATTCTACATTTCAATCTATGCTTATTACCTACACAAGACCTAGCGGTACCCACGTCCAAAACAATTTAGTACGTTGCGCTCAAGACGTACATGGTACTCAGGATGGACATATAGATCGCAGAATGTAACATTTGCATAAATACTAGTGAATGGTTCCGTTATTGTTCCAGTAACTTTCTTATAAGATCGCAGGATTGATTAAGTTTTAAAAATACCTAATTGCTTTTATGTGTACATACGAGTATTTGTTTATATGCCTATATGCTAATATAAAATTTACTGCCTTCCTATTATGGTTGTATGCTTTTGAAGCTTACATCCAGTCATTCATTACCATTGTTTTACTTATACATACATGTACTGTCATTTTTTAGTGTCATGAAAGTTGTGTTTTTTGAAATTATTTTTGAACAGTAGATAATGTCAGATAAGAATTAGTGTGTTCAGTTTGAGTGACTACACAATATAAATTATAGACTGAGCTTCCAGCTCGTTGTTTAAAATATTTTTCACTGTTTTCCTTTTCGAAATATTACAAAAATTAGTTGATTTATTCATTTGAGAATAATTATATTGATGTTGTCGTTGAATAGTATAAAAAATGAAAAACTAAAGTTTAAATTGCCCTTCATAGCTTCGTTATCTGAAAAGTTGATTGGAACAACGCTTCAGATGTTTTATTTTGCGCTATTTATTATTTAGCTTAACGCTAAATAGTTTTTGAATGACTTCAGAGGTGATAGTTCTGTAGTAAATATCATTTCAAAAGGCGTTTTTTATCTTTTGTCTTAAAATATTCATACATTTAAATTAAATTAAAATAGATTTAGGCACATTTTTATTATTATTAAATCATTGCAATGAAACAGAACAAGCGCAAGGAAACAAAGTAATTGAACTGAATATTTTTTTACCTACCTTTTCAAATAACAAAGAAACAAAACTAGCTATGTAATGATCAAGAAACATGCAGTTTATATTATTTGAAGATATAGTATGATATTGTTCTATTATAGTATTCAGAAATGTGCTTTTAGAATTTAAAAGAGAATTTAGAGCAAATACAAATGAAATAACCAATCTCTAATAGGCAATCTAGTTTTATCTAGGAAATATATACTGTTAATTTTTTTAAGTAAAAGTCTCCGATACTTAATAAAATCATTACATAATTTTTTTTATTATCAAATTTTTGTAAAGAAATAATTTTATTGTATGATACAATTTAAAATAATCTGTGTGCAAATTATTGATTATTTTTTCTTGTTTCATTTCAAAAAATACCCTATTATTGAATTCACATAAGATTACATTTGTTATCGTACCATTCTGTTAGTTTCTCAAATATATTTACTATTTAAATATGTTTTAAAATGTGAAATAAATTAATTCATAAGAATATCATACGAAACTGAGTCAGTTTGTTGTAATTCAGAAAAACATATTCGTTTTCGTTTTTATAGAACAAAAAAGAATTACTTTCATATTGGTAGCAGTAAGTAGTGAAAAATCCTTTTTTTTCACAAATAACAGTAGAAAAAATCTTTTAATATAATAAATTAATGATTATTGTAACGATTTTCTAGAAAATTGCAACCAAGTTTAACCAAATATTAAAGATATCATTATGCAAACTACAGAATTATCAAAATAATGGGTGTGCCAAAATTCTGGCATTGAATTTTGCACTACTTGTGCGGTAAAGTGCTGCCAACTAAAAAAAGGACAGCGTGAGAGCTGACAGTTCAGGGTAAATAAAAATGAAACGCTACATGAAAGAACAACGCATTTTCATTGTTGAGCAATATTTTAAAAATAATGAAGGTTTGGCAGCTACAGTTCGCAATTTTCTTACAAAATATGGTCGGAATAGTGATTTAGCTTCATCAACTGTGAAGAGATTAATAAAAAAATTCAAGAAACAGGATCAATTAGTGATCTTAAACACTAGTCGTCCTTCAACAAGTCGTTCAACATAAAACATCGAAGCAGTCGTGTGAGTGTTGCTGAGAGTGCAGGAACATCAATTCGGCACCGTGGTCAAGAATTGGACATTTCGAGAAGTTCCCTACGGAAGATTTGCATCTTCATACTTATAAAGTTCAATTAACTCAAGAATTGAAGCCTACTGACC